CGGTCCAGGGTCATTACAACACAAAGTGGAAGTCTTTAAATAAAAACAAATCCGAACATATTGTCGTTGTGATGAGTCAGAGGTGTGACAATACTAATGTCGTGTAATTCAATATTAGGCATGTGCTTATGGCATCCGGTGAATGAACATAACCAGTGAAGATGTTGTAGGCCCCAAAATGTCAGCTGTCTTTGACATTCACCAACAGCAAGGAAAAATGACCAACTTTTTCTACCACCATCAGAACAACGATACCAGACGAGCTATACTACTCAAAAGAAGTTTAGGATCACCTGATTCTTTCATAATTTTAAAGTAAATCTGTCATGACATGAGAGATTAACTATAGTAATATGAAAGAATCAGGTGATCCTTAACTTATTTTGAGTAGTATATGTTATAAAATAGACAAAATAAGAAATTTCCACTTGACCTTGTAATCCTTTGACCAAAACAACAAATACAACTGGACAAGTACAATTTGAATTCTTGCACCAACTGCATACTTACCTACTCACCATACACAAAATGTTAAACAGCCAGACCAGCATAGAGAACAATGCACACATGCCAACACAATCAAATAACATCTCCACTGTTTGAATCTGAAATGATTGTTTTTATTTTCCCACCCTAGACCAGGATCTCTTCCCAATACAATCCCCATACCAAGAAACAGCCTGTCTCACAGTCCCTTATCCATATCATTTTCCCATCAGTCCTGCATTACTGTTATGCTATGGCCCTAAATGAAGCAAGTCTAGATTTTCCGCTATTATGGATAATAACGTCCACGGTGATGCAGACGTTAAACCAGCTGTTTCAATGTGATTTAAAAGTCTCTGATTGACCAATCAGAATCGAGTAATTTCCAAATTCATGGTAGAATTGCTATTCAAATGTACATGTACAATAATGAAGTGGATTAAAAAAACAGGTTATCACTGCTGTCCCTATTTATTGGCACAAAATCAAGCTTCAAAGACCAAGATACCCAATATGGGATCTGTATTTGAAAATAATTGTCATCAAACTTTTAATTTTAATTAATATGATTGAATTACTGCCAATGTCAGTTCAAATATTAACTCACTCATTCCTACAAGAAGAGAGCCACATGAGAAATTATGGTTCATTATAGAGGAGACAGGTCCTAGATGTGCTCAACTGGTCCACATGAATAGTGACACTGGATGCATTACATTAGGCAGGATTCGTGAGTGAGTGAGTGAGTTGTGTTTTAACGCCGCTTTTAACAGTATTTCAGTCATATCACGCCGTGTCAGCTTAATGTGAGAGGAAAGCCCCAAGTGATGCAGGTCTCAGACGTTTACCACTTCGATGAAACCCACGAGCACGAGTATGGAGCTGACAAACCTAGAAATATTATTGGGGCAAATCGGGATTCGAACCCACTATCATAGGTTTCTGGCGTTCCCAATGGATCGCAACTCTGCACAGCGAATTGCAGCGCCTCAGACGACTGAGCCACCAGTGCCCCCAATTCATGATTAAGTGTTTTATTGGCATTCTAGAAGTTGGTGAGTAAATAAGAAAACAAAAAACTGTAAGGACAACAACTCAGTCAACAGATTCTGTCATAAGTAGGGCTTGCTAAAAACATCGATAATCTGAATTATCGTCGATGGGAAGAAATATTACCGATAATCGATATGAAACTTGTGTCATCGATAATATCTCACAAAAACTATTGTGATGAATAAAGTTTTAAGTTACTGAAGCAGACATGGCTTTGTCAATTGCTGAAGATTGAAAGCAACTGATTTTGTTAGACCTTAAATATACACAAAATTATCCATGTATAAATGTGTCACCACTCACCAGTGACATGAAACCTGATGTTTTGTCTCCAAGCTTTTTGTATATTTGCTGAAAGTTACTTATCCGATATTTATCGATTATTGATTGATATCCTCACAAACAGAATAAAATACTACACTAACAGCCAAAAACATCAAGAATGGTACACTTGTAATTTCTACCACTCCTCAGGGTGCCAATTACACCGACTACGGTACAGCCTCTACATCCATAGGCAGCTGAATCTGGACACTGTATTTACACATGACAATAACGAAGCAAAAGTGCAAACTCCAATGAATAACTTATTCATCAAAAATAGGTCATAGTGACCCGATACTCTTTCATCGATCAATAGTCAAAACAAGCGTATTGATCATGTCAACACAAATGTGCCACCCACGGACCAGATACGGTGTTGTATAAGCAGAATAAAACAACAGATGTTCACTAACTCTCCTGGTGTATAAATCAAGTATACTACATAAGCTGCTGGGGCAGTGAGATTTTAGCAGTATTTATCCATATACATTCAGTCATGTTATAACACAATAACAAGGAGCAAACATGGGTGAGGCAATACTGTAAGCCGGTGCTTCTCTAGAAATTCCTGTTATCATTATCTTAATATCTGTGTCTAAAAGATTGCCATATTTACCAGTGTTTGACAGTGTTTACAACATAAATTTATGGTAAGCATCTTAATATGTAGCAGAATAGTCATGATGAAATTGCAAAATTAATATAATTATGTGATTTGGTCACATTGCTGCTCATAACTAATCAGTAAGGTAGAAAATCTGAAATGAAGGCATCAGCCACAGCAAAGATTTTGACAGCTGTACACACACAAAAAGTAGACCTACTTTTAAAATCAAAGAATGTAGGTTACATAAATGCAAAGAAAAGAAGTTATATAAGACAACCATATATCATGATATATTAGCAACATTCCCTTATATAGTGTGGTGTGACACTTTTGTATCAGTAATGTTGACACATTCAGGAAAAAAAGAGATGTCACTCTACACAACAAATTCTCAAAATAAGAGTCACTTATATTCATAATTCCATGAATAACCGGTATTACAAGTTTCAGGAAAAAGAATCATGATGTGTAAAACCAATGACTCATAACAGTGATACATGTTGTAACCATGGCGATAGAGCATGGATATCAGGGTTGTATGGCTATAATAATAATAATAATACCCTGAGCAATGTATCAGTGTTGATTTTCATTGTGAAGGTTAACTGTCACATTACCATCTCATCCTACCGGGTACCCATTCAGTGCTGGGTCAACAAAGTCATATTTGGAGCAAAGTGACTTCCCAGGAGACACCTCATTTAACATGTGCTTCAGTGTGGGTCAGAATAGAAGCCCAACAAACTCTCAAGTGTCAAGCTGCCAAACATGTTTACCCACTGGCCCACTATCCGCGACCAATATTGCTTAGTTTTGCCTGATTTGTGACCTGAGCACTGTGCACGGTTGGTCTGGGACGAGACCTCATGTTTTACTGGGGTATCTGTTCCCCAATTACCCGACCCGCTCTAGGTCTCGATTTAAGTACAAAATGTCTGTTTGTGAACTGTTTTACCAGAACCCTGGCAAAAACTACCCACAGATACACACATAAAATGATCTTGTCATGCATACACTGAAGTTGACAGAAGCTTTATCTTTACACAAACAGATAAAAGTCAGATGAAGTGCATGCATTGTCAGGAAGAAATGCCAACATTTAGCAACTTGTAGTGTAACCATGGAGTTTGATTCTTATTGTCATTAAACGATATATATCACATGTGACTAACCAACTAACAGGTCCAGGAAGTCCTGTGTTTTAATACCGACCTCTGTACATTCTAAGTAGTATCTCATATCTAGCAATATAAATCAATTTGGACTTCATCACAGAACAGTAGTGATTATCAGTTCATAACCCAACAATAATCAGTTATATTATATATGCATTGTGTATTTCCATAATTACAACACATAGGTCAAAGTACCTATTGTTGTGATGATTTTAAATATGACATTTTTTATTTCTTAATTGAAAATTTGTTCAAAATGCCTAATTTACAACCTCAGTGTGTTCAGACCACAATCTTACAAGGTAATGATTTAAACATGTTAAAGGAAACCTGACTTTCTTTTACAACCATGAAATACAAAATATCTCCACCATAAATTGTTTGATAGGCATTACTTAGAAGTTGACGGATGACAAAGTAGACACACTTTAAGGATAACATATTAAACAGGGTTAGAAACTAACAGTTTTTGTCCACTAGTCCTTATAATGATAACATATAGCAAAACCCTTAAAAAGGGACAATTTCTACTTGTCCTTAGGATACCTTTACTATTGGGCAGTTTGGTAAGGACTACAGGACTAGTGCCAATTTCTAACGCTGTTAAAGAAGTTGTCATCCATAAATTGTGTCTACTTTATCTCAACCTTAGTGTGGAGGCAGTTGCGACTGATCTGTGCAGAAGTAGATCTAGGGCCAAGTACTGGACACCCAAACTGTCATGATATTAATACCAATACACTATCTAACAACATAGGAACATCACTTATATGATGTAAAGTCATCAAAACAACTTCCGAATACTATCACAACATATTTCCCAACAGTTACCCAGTATGTGGTAACATCTCTGACAGAGTAAGCCTGATGCCTCCCCAACACAACATGTTTGTGTCCCAGGCAAGAGGGGTCCAAATACTCTGAGTTACAAATTAGACCCATGAACACATCCATCTTGTATATAAAGCAAACACCGAGCTTTACTTATTACATTAATATATTTTCCATTTGCCGGTGTTACATATGTAGTCTTGTAGCGAGCAGTAAGTTCGTGGGCTACTGGTCTGTCCGATATATCCTCAACTTTGTGGAGTTCAGAGTGACACATAGGAAGTTATTGTTGGGCCAGGTCGTCCCGTTTGTGTGGTGTTCGGACGCTTGTAATAAGCAAGTTGGACGTTCGTGACTCACGACATTGTAAACTGATACTGTCATTTCACACCAGACACGATTCGTCTTCATTTTGAACTTGTTATCTCAACTTCTACGAATAACCCCAGACTAACGAGCTCATCTCCGCCATTTCTGTCCGATTTTCACAGGCGATCATCCCTTTTAAACCCCAAAATACCAACCTTAGTTTGTCGTGCGGATCAAAATCTGCCGCCATAGTGTCATCAAGAGACAAAACTGTCAATAGTAGTCTTCACATTGATGTAAATTCTTTCCAGGAAGTTTAGATCGATAAATATGGCGACTAGTGGACGACAACTTCTGCGACAAGTTACGGCTTCCTATGGAATCCCTGCTGGGTCATACATACGAGTTACTTCCCTTGGCGACAGGTGCTCGATGGAGCCGAGAGGTGAAGATACGATATAATATAAACAGGTTCGCCGAGGAAGTAGTGATGGGACCTGGCCTATCATCCTAACAGCAACACAAGTAAACACTAATCCCTTTCAATTAAATGTGGAAATCCCGTGGCAGGTGATTGTTTTCACAGTTCGCCAAAGTCTTATTCGTGAGTGATTAAAAGAGCCTTTAATGAGGTAATAAACACCGCAAGCTTTAAAATATTGTCTTTTAGTTTCCTAATGCCTCACACTTCGTAATTAGATTCTTGGTCACTCGGCCATAGCGTTAGTTTGGCAAACAAAAGACAGTCGATAATTCCTTGAGTCGATAACTACTTGGGGAAATTAAACATGTCTTGCATGAACAATACATCAAGGATTACGCATATTTCTGCAGGTGTATCTACAAAGGATACAGATAACCCCAACAGCATACATGCCGCGGGGAGAGCTGGTTCACATCAGAATCACAAGTACACACACCCCGGATTACACTCACGTATACAAATGTACCCAAATGATACGAATTCTGCTTTTATAGTTTATATATACACATGCTAATAGTTAGTGTCACCCCTAGGTATATGCGTGTTTGCAGAGAGGGGTTACTATAATTATGAGCATGAGTATACGTTTACACGATTGAATCTTGCACGATTAAAACGTTCATACCCCAGTAAACCACCATAATGTAAAATTCATTTCTTAAATAAACACCTATGTGTTATCTAAATTATACGGATCAGCTTGTATAGTTTGCAATATATGTTTACACAGACACATAAACACCTGTATGTGCCTTTAATTGAATATAAACAGCCATGTGTCTTGGTATAAACACGTCTATTGACCATCTGTATTGTATCTGACAATGTGTCTTGGTGTAAACAACTATGTGCTATGTGTCTTGGTATAAACACCTTTATTGACAATGTATCTTGATATAACACCTGTATTGACAATGTATCTTGATATAACACCTGTATTGACAATGTATCTTGATATAACACATGTATTTCTCCATGTCATGGGATCTGTATCTTTGTCTTGGCATAAGTACATATACTTGACGACGTGTATCGATGGATTCCCAGCATGCCAACTCCGCTACCTGCACAACATTCCCACTCACACCCACTCAGAACACCTCGGAACACCTTTCTGCGTGAGTGGACACTGATTAAGTAATTACCTGTCGAACGGGACTCTTCTCCCGTCAATCAACTCCAAGCCACACGCTCCATCAGCACTGACAGCAGCACTGGGCGCGGGCTCAACCAGTCATGCGTATTGGAATGTTTGTTGCGTAATCGCTACGCATATCTGGATATACAAGCTGTTATATGTAATCGGGAGCAGACTTACCCGACAGTTAGAACCACCCGACCCGTTACGGCTCTACAGATTAAAAACACACTATTTATCTGGTATGTTGTAAAAATGTGAAACCCCGATTTATACAAGGTAGACACAATTTTATGGAAGTTGTTATCCATACCTTGTCACCCGTCAACTTCTAAGTAATGCCTATCAAACAAGTCAGGTTTATACGTTGGGGAGTCGGAGGTAGAACATTTACCAGTGGGTTGGGTTTAACGCCTGGGAGCTGAGCCCGTTATCACAGGAGCCTGCATCACATAAGGGACGTAACTCTGCACAGTGCATGGCTGTATCATAGACGACTGGGCCTATAAGGCCTCGCTTGTTTTATGGTTCGAAATAAGTGCATTTTAGTTATGCAGCAGAAAATTGCTGATGGTGGCATAAAACAACACTCACTCACTCGTTATATGTTCCGGGCCAACTGCGTGGGGTCAATACATCAGGAATTTGTATGCACAATACGTTCTTTGTGAAACAACATGTTGGGCAAGTTGTCACTGTTTGACGGATGCACACTGGACACACATCACTCACTCACTCACTCACTCACTCACTCACTCAAGCCCGCCCGCCCGCCCACTCACTCACTCATGATGGAAATTTTGAATTTATACTTTCAATTTCATAATTGTCCATATATTTTTTATTATTGTTTCGCAGTTCACCCACTCACTAACAAATTAACAATCTTAGGCGTTATTAAACGGTTGGGTCCCTTTGTTAAAATAAAACATACATTGCAAGCGATCACAGAGAATTGCGCCAAAAATCTAATCCCACGTCGTTTGATACGGAAGTATTATAATTTATGCTGTACCTTAATTTTGTACAACAGCAACAAATTCAGTGGTGCTATTTCCTCAAGATATTTTGATTCTTGACGCCCTTAATTAACCAGAATAGGCCAAGCTATGTGTATCGTGATAACATGTTGATGTTTCATGTCACACGTCAGTGTGAGTAAATAATCTGTTCATCGCGAAAACTCGAAATCTTGTGGCAAAACATTCGACCGTAGAAAAATATATCCTATGACTCATATCAATCATGAGTCAAAACATTAGATGCAACGTTAAAGATCTAGTCTATTAACTTACGTGTTAAATTAGTTGTGAATGAATATGCATTAATTGTAGTGTTAGCCTTCAAGCGTCATTTAGGGGAACTAGCATTGCAGAGAAGAAAAACACTTTGGTTTGAGAGTCACGCACATGGCTGCCAAAGGAAAAATGGCGGCAACTTCTAAACCTTTTGTTTTATTTTTGTTGGCTTTGCTAATCGTACTTTTAATTGACTCTTCTCAGTCAGCCAAGTTAAATGCACCGAAGGTTCTGCTTCCTTATTATAGTTCAGTAATCGCCAATTTTACGTTAGAAGTGGAGTTTTCCCCCGAAGAGGCACAGGGAGCCAGTTGTTATCGATGGTAAGATTAATTGTTCGGATTTCGATCACACCAAAATGAAACTGCATCCAGCTTACTCACATTGAAAACGTTGTCGGTCCACAACTGAAAATGTAAAGTGATGAGAAAATGGCAACTAAAGTGTCCTATATGGCTGTCTTACGTCATAATAAGTGATTAGTTATGTTTGACAGTAATGCATCATCCATGATCAGTTACTAATTTCAATTCAGCTTTGTATTTGTAGCAAAATTTGAATGTTTTTTTTTTTAAACAGTTGACTTGTTTAAGCAATTTCTACTCGTCTTATGCGTACCTTAACCAGGTTCAACACACTACCAATGTCTCCCAACTTGGAAAATGATAATTCTTTGAAACAGCTAAAAAACGTCAAATAATCAGAGCAAATAGTGGTGTCACTATACACCGACCTAACATATCTTCATATTCCATGGGTTCCGCTCCCTGTATAAAAACGCACTCATCCTAGTCCTACTAGCAGCTCTAAGCATTTTTTGTCAATAAAGTAAAGCTATTGCCCCAGTGGTTGTCAAGCAACAAACATTTTATTTCCCATGTCACAATCAAGTCAATTATGTCCAAGTGTAATATAATAACCTTTCGGGGCAAATGGTATTATAGTACATAGTGTGTGTCGGTTGTATCTTCACATTTCTGATCTTTTTATGAACTAAACTCAATAGGGATGATACACCTGATATGAGAAGTTACGTATCTGTGTTGTGTTGACCAATTATATACCTTATCCATAACAAGAATGTCTACTGGTCCGAATAGTGATAACACACATCAATACAATACTGACCAAAATGTTTTCTTTCAGGATACCTTTAATTGATGCCTGCTTGTGGGCTAGTGCTAATTTCCGTCCCCGCTTTTTATGTCAGGTTTAGTAAACCTCTAACAGTCAATTGAGACCCGTTATCTATGGGAAGAAATCACAAGAACACAAGCATCAATTATATTCAGTGGAAGAAAACTATTTATGAAGTTAACTTTGATAAAGTGACAACATGGACACCAGTGCCCTCACAGAATATGTGAGTCTGTAATTACAGTATCAGCAGTCACAGACGTAACGTGTACGCGTGACGGCTCAGCCGTCTCTTGTACGCGAGACGGTGCGGTCCGCAGTACTCAGAGAAGCGCTTGATACTAATTAATTCAATCACCGTGGCTGTGCTGTCACCCGCGACCTCCGCGAAAGTAATTAAAGCGCTATGTAAAATCACCCACTGCCGAGAGGGGCCACAACAATCCACCCAAGGTCGTGACTGGCGGGTCGCGTGTGCATCGGGGCATCCGCCTTCCTATTTTCACATACCCTATTTTCGAACAGTTAAAACATGTCAACATGTCATTCTGGACTGGATACACTTGAAAGTGTACACGTCGAAGCTAGCGACCAGTTATCGCCATTTTTTCATGTTATTTCTGGCATATTCCGTGTATACTCTGACCTCGTGGTACCGCGGCATTCATCGTATCGCGGCATTTGTGATTTCCGGTCGCTCACGCGGGACACGCCTTTTAGCGGGTGTCTGTTATGACAATCAGTAACCAGGAAGTGCTCGCTCCGTAAACAATTTCAATTTTTCTCGGAATGTTCCGTCTGCTGCAAGTTAGGGGTCATTATCGCATTGATACTTACTTCTGGTATCTTTTTATTTTTTTATTATTGCCTTACCCCCATCTGTCAATGGACAGCGATATGACCGGCAGTTTCCCAAATAAACTTTCTCTCTCGACCTGAACTAGCTCATCTACATATTCATGGCGACTAATAAGGTAACGGAAGTTACGTAGCCCGCACATTTTCCCGCGCTGTGGTCAGGATATATTAGGAGATAATTAGGGCCAAAATTTCATACTTAGCAGTACTTTCTTCACTAGTAGCCAAATCATAAATACATACTTTTGGCATAACAGGAGTGAATAATCATAAATGTTAGCGAGTGCCATTTGTTCCGTTTATGACAAGTACCGCGAAACCCGAGGCTGCAGGCTACAAAGTTGAATGTACCAATAACTTTATTTTTTGTGAAACTGTGAGCATATGCGCTTTCTTGAATAAGATTCAGTTGATTTCGGTTATAGCGTTACAATGTCTGTCTGTGCTACGATAGGGAACAGTGGAAACTTTACCGGTGACTTATTGTACCAGCTCTCGCAATCGCCTTACAGCACGTGAACACGCCCACAGTTCCAGTTTACAAATTACATTTTGGGGATATTTCAGTTATCGCGCTCAATATTATTTTAATTCACCAAAATTAATAAGAAATGCTATTATCAATTTGTTCTTTGCAAACTGACAATATTCCCCAAATTCGATATTGCTTATCCCTATGTGTACATCAAATAGATTTCAGAATTGTATTTTGAGGAAGATAGGATATTGAAGATATTGAGCAAGGTGAATATGGCGGGTTTTGAAAAAAATATTTCCGCACAAGAGTCCTTTTGATCATTGTTTTCGGATAAATATTTCTCTCCTCTTATGAAAACTAAGACTCTCAAAACTAAAATGAGATGCAACCACGTGCACGCTATAACGGTTAGCGATAATTGTCCCTCGGCGATATAACAAGAAAAACTATCAAAATATCCGATCACGTGATATACAATTTAGCCTTTTGTGGCAGTGGAGAAACGCTTAGTCATCATGATAAATCCGCCTGATTGCGGTTCGCTCTATTCTTGCTGCGCCAAACGACACCTATCTGAGCAGCAGCCACATTGGCGTGTTTTTGTTGTCGATTAGTGTATACACGATCATTATCATATTATGCGCAGTATCCTATATTTTCTGTTCTGCTTGGCATTGTTTTATATGCAGATATTAAAAATACCGCATGTATTTTCTCGTAAATTATAGGCCGGAAATAGCAATCAGCTCACATCTACCTGTTCGTCAGCGGTGTTTCTGGAAATAAATCCGTTCATTGATGCACGATTCGTATATCTGAAAAGTATTGAATGGAATATTCAATCGTGTAATAACAGGATTTCATGCTAATTTGCAGGCGTTCAACAAGACAAGAAGTTGCCCAGATTCAGCTCCTCAACAGCACAGATGGAGAGTGCTCCAACAAGGCGCTCGTGTCGGCCACATCCAAAACATCCCACCAGATGACAACAGTGGTCCTCGCTGAAAACAAAGGTACATTTATCACAAACTCACTCTGATTATGTAGTCTCTCTTGTGTGAGAGGAGAGGTCGGGTAGCCTAGTGGTTAAAGCGTTTGCTTGTCACACAGAAGACCTGGGTTCGATTCCCCATGTGGGTACAATGTGTAGAGCCCATGTCTGGTGTATCACGCTGTGATATTGGTAGAATATTGCTAAAAGCGTCGTAAAAATTATACTCACTCACTCACTCTTTTCTGAGGCACATGTACATGCTATTTTCCTAAACTATATTTGACAAGTTGGAATTTGAGGCTAGAATTGGTAATTCAGTCACTAGCTTTCTGATTTTTGTTCATTTGTTTGTCGTTTAACACTACACTAAGAAATATTCTCGCTCTATGATGGTGGTCTGTAAATAATCAAGTCCAGACAAGACAATCCAGTGATTGACATCATGAGTATCAATCTACAAAATTGGGATACAATTACATGCATCAACAAAGTCTGCGAGCCTGACCATCCGATCCTGTTAGTCGCCTCATACAACAAGCATGGGTTCCTGGAGATCATTTCGTACCTTGTTTGTTTTTTGCTTGTGGAGGGTAAAGGAGGTGTTTCTTTGTGTATATGATTGAACCTGTGGACTGCTTGACTTCCATGCTTCATGGCGAACACTGTCATGTCAGTGCACTATGACCAGGTGATTCCTTAATACAAACATTGACCACAAAAGACGTTAGAAGATGGTACTTGTTGTTACCCTGTCTGGCGCTCGACAAGGACTGGTCGCTCGTAGTCAGTATACTGTGTCTGAATGGGGTATTCATGTTAAACTGTGGCATGGTATCTCAGTGAGCTTGCACTATAAATCAGCATCAGTCCGGACTAGTACAAGCAGAAACACACACACACACACACACACACACACACACACACACACACACACACACACACACACACACACACACACACACACACACACACACACACACACGTGTGTGCATGCATGTCGCTATATAAGTGCAATAATCTTGGACGCAACATTAAACCCCATTTGACCTCACCTTATACAAACATTGATGAAATTTTTCAAAATTGCATTTTGACATCCCTGAAACTACAAGGTGCGTAAAGATGAAACTTTTACGAATGATCCTCGCTAAGTTGTCTCAAAGAAGTGGTCACAGAATTCTGAACTGCTTTCAAACATGGTGGCCATAATGAAAATGTCATTTATCCTGTTTATAGACGTCACTCTGCCATTTCTGCATGTGTAATGCAGGTTTTTTTTATAGCATGTAATTATAAAAAATTGTTTTTGCATGTTTGAATTTTTGATCCAATTGTATCCACATTGCTGTAATATTGTATTCGACATCTCCTGTGAAACTGCAAGGCCACTGGAGCTGGAACTTTGTATAAATGAACTTGGCTGTAGTTTCTAAAAACATTGTTCACAGAATACAAATCTGATTTTAAAAATGGCCACCAAAGAGGTCATATCTAGAAACCCATTAATGGCTGTAAATTGGACGTTGTGGAAACACAGTGAAATTTGCCATTTGTGTAGTTAGTAGTGGGTTCCATTTTTTGTGATACTGTGAATTTTGACCTTGATTCAACCATAACAGTGTAATAGTTGGTGTCACCAAAAAGAATATGTTGTCATGGGCAGTAAGTATCAAAATTGAAAAACCGTAGCTTAGACCCCACTGGACACTCTAGCCTGTCACCATGTTTGGTCAAATTATCTGCATTTATTGTGGATGGAAGACAAAGTAGGTTTAGACATGTTTGAAGTCATGTCTCTCTCTCTTCCTCTTCCTCCCTCCCCTGAGAGGCCCATCAGCAGCTGACCAGTAGTTGGTAGCCTACTGTTACCATGGAAACTGGTAACTGTCAGCTGGAGCCCATCTGTCGACCATACTGCATTATGTAACCTAGGGAGGGGGGGGACTTTGAAACAAGGCAGCATTAGACATGTTTATTTTGTTTTATTTCAGTGGCTACTAAGCCATACTGAAAATAAAAGTGCTGTGGAAATGATCATTTATGTTGTGAAGAAGGCAACGGGTTTGACAAAAGTCTGTACTTTATGGATTTTCCCCATTTTCTTATCAGCCTGAACAAACAGTACAAATGTTGATTTACAGATTTCAATAATGATTGTCCAGGAACGTGTTGAGACATGCAAGATAAGCAAACAGTAACCATGGCGTTACTCACATTTGTCAGTCAGTCTCTCTGCACTGTTAGCTCACCTGAGTTCAAGCAGAGGACTTTACGATTTACTTCCTGGAGAAAAATATGATCTTTGAAGCAGTACGTGGTGTCCAGTTGTTGTGTCCACGCCCAGTTTGTAGGGAGGAAGCAGTACGTGGTGTCCAGTTGTTGTGTCCACGCCCAGTTTGTAGTGAGGAAGCAGTGCGTGGTGTCCAGTTGTTGTGTCCACGCCCAGTTTGTAGGGAGGAAGCAGTACGTTGTGTCCAGTTGTTGTGTCCACGCCCAGTTTGTAGGGAGGAAGCAGTACGTGGTGTCCAGTTGTTGTGTCCACGCCCAGTTTGTAGGGAGGAAGCAGTGTGTGGTGTCCAGTTGTTGTGTCCACGCCCAGTTTGTAGGGAGGAAGCAGTGCGTGGTGTCCAGTTGTTGTGTCCACGCCCAGTTTGTAGGGAGGAAGCAGTACGTGGTGTCCAGTTGTTGTGTCCACGCCCAGTTTGTAGGGAGGAAGCAGTGCGTGGTGTCCAGTTGTTGTGTCCACGCCCAGTTTGTAGGTAGGAAGCAGTGTGTGGTGTCCAGTTGTTGTGTCCATGCCCAGTTTGTAGGGAGGAAGCAGTACGTAGTGTCCAGTTGTTGTGTCCACGAACAGTTTGTAGGGAGGAAGCAGTACGTGGTGTCCAGTTGTTGTGTCCATGCCCAGTTTGTAGGGAGGAAGCAGTGCGTTGTGTCCAGTTGTTGTGTCCACGCCCAGTTTGTAGGGAGGAAGTAGTGCGTGGTGTCCAGTTGTTGTGTCCACGCCCAGTTTGTAGGGAGGAAGCAGTACGTGGTGTCCAGTTGTTGTGTCCATGCCCAGTTTGTAGGGAGGAAGCAGTACGTAGTGTCCAGTTGTTGTGTCCATGCCCAGTTTGTAGGGAGGAAGCAGTGTGTGGTGTCCAGTTGTTGTGTCCACGCCCAGTTTGTAGGGAGGAAGCAGTGCGTGGTGTCCAGTTGTTGTGTCCACGCCCAGTTTGTAGGGAGGAAGCAGTACGTGGTGTCCAGTGCTGCACATGTTCAGACTGTAAGCAAGCTGAAACAAAACCTGACACTGACAGCCTGTGCCAAAATATTTTGTGTGTAGCACTGTCCACTGGCCGAGACTTCTGTCAGCATTTTCAGTTGATGTTTAAGATTCTCTTGTCCGATATGGATCTTGTTGGCAGAACTTTCGAGACAGAACTGGGCTTCACACTTTAGCAGCCTGGACTGATGACCTACTGAATCATTAACTATCTGGCTTACTGTGTAACCTACATCATGTTCATCAAGTTGATCATACAGTTTATCTAGAAGTCATATTGTAATTTAATAAACATGGTCAAGTTAGCTCAACTGATGATTGTCTATATATAAACATGAAATACCTTGATGCTGAGAGGCAAGTCCTGGCTGGGAGATTCATTAGTTGAGTGATACACAAGATATCACTCCGGGAGTCCGGGTTAGGAAAGGTCCCTCGCATCCCATGCAGGCTGTGAAGGGACTCAGTGGACCTTGGTGCCTTGGTTCATTGTGTGTCTTCTTACCCCCAAGGTTAGGAAAGGTCCCTCGCATCCCATGCAGGCTGTGAAGGGACTCAGTGGACCTTGGTGCCTTGGTTCATTGTGTGTCTTCTTACCCCCAAGGTTAGGAAAGGTCCCTCGCATCCCATGCAGGCTGTGAAGGGACTCAGTGGACCTCGGTGCCTTGGTTCATTGTGTGTCTTCTTACCCCCAAGGTTAGGAAAGGTCCCTCGCATCCCATGCAGGCTGTGAAGGGACTCAGTGGACCTTGGTGCCTTGGTTCATTGTGTGTCTTCTTACCCCCAAGGTTAGGAAAGGTCCCTCGCATCCCATGCAGGCTGTGAAGGGACTCAGTGGACCTCGGTGCCTTGGTTCATTGTGTGTCTTCTTACCCCCAAGGTTAGGAAAGGTCCCTCGCATCCCATGCAGGCTGTGAAGGGACTCCGTGGACCTCGGTGCCTTGGTTCATTGTGTGTCTTCTTACCCCCAAGGTTAGGAAAGGTCCCTCGCATCCCATGCAGGCTGTGAAGGGACTCAGTGGACCTCGGTGCCTTGGTTCATTGTGTGTCTTCTTACCCCCAAGGTTAGGAAAGGTCCCTCGCATCCCATGCAGGCTGTGAAGGGACTCAGTGGACCTCGGTGCCTTGGTTCATTGTGTGTCTTCTTACCCCCAAGGTTAGGAAAGGTCCCTCGCATCCCATGCAGGCTGTGAAGGGACTCAGTGGACCTCGGTGCCTTGGTTCATTGTGTGTCTTCTTACCCCCAAGGTTAGGAAAGGTCCCTCGCATCCCATGCAGGCTGAGAAGGGACTCAGTGGACCTCGGTGCCTTGGTTCATTGTGTGTCTTCTTACCCCCAAGGCTTGGAGAGTCAGTAGGGGCGGTGGGGTAGCCTTGTGGTTAAAGTGTTCCCTCATCACACATAAGATCCGGGTTCGATTTCCCACATCAGTACCTGGGTAAATTGTGTGAAGCCCATTTCTGGTGTCCCCTGCCCTGATAGTGCTGGAATATTGCTCAAAGTGGTGTAAAACTATACTCACTCACTCACTGGATCTTTGCACATAATATCAATCACTGGATTGCCTTGTCCACCCCAGTATTTACAGGGCACCACAGAGCTCCAGAAAACTTTTGGAGCAATTGAGTTTTAACTTGAAGGTTTCTATTTTGATTGGGTTATTTCATTTTTTATTGGGTGACCAATATTTTTTCACTCATCTATTCATCACTCTATTGGGTTTTTCCCAAGATAAGTAAACATTTTGAGATTTAAAAAAAATGAAATAATGTTTTGGATGTATATATAAGGCTTGACTTGGGAAGTAAATTAGCTCATAGTCATAATTGTGTTTCGGAATTTAGCTTCGTTGTACGCATGCTGTAAAAGATTCAGTGGGTATTTACACGTGGCGTTTTTATACATTTGAGTTTTTCATTTGGTGCATGCATTTCTGTACACAAGTTAATTGAAAGTAATGGGGTTTTGAATATTTTAGGGGGGGGGGGTATTATACGCAAATACACAGCTTATCCATAGCTCTGGCACCATCTAGTTGCTGGAATATTGCTCAATGTTAAGCAACAATGTTCACAGTGATGTCCAACATTCACTAATGCTTCTCTTGATGTTTTCAGTGACCGGTGAAATCCTGCGATGCAATGTCATCGTCAGTGAAATCACGAAACTTGTGATTGACACAACAACCAGACTCCTGTACCTTGAAGACTCTCCGGAAGAACTGGTTGCCCGGGGTTACGACAGTGAGGGTGAGTCACAAACATGGTTGGCTCAAACAACCCATCTTTCAAAATCCTAATTCATCGTGACAGTAATTAGGCTGCTTTGTGTGTTTGTTGGAATTGGACCACTGCCACCATCACCACATTTGATTTTCTTAACCACACGCTTATACAGGTAGTAGAAACTTTATGCCCAATATGGCGATACCTTTGGGGAATTTTGCTGACATATGATTGTATGGTTACTCACGAAAACATGGTATTGTGATATTATTGGAATTGGACAAAACAATTGTCATACCTCTATGTCAGAATGATGAGATCTGATTGGTCGATGTAATCTTGGTACAATTCCGATGTAACCCGCCATGGAGGGGAATAAATTTCTCAGAAGGGGATAAATCTCTTATACCCTGCCACAGGCACTACAGGCTGCACCTTCATTTCTAAGAGACAGAATAAATCCTTTTCACCCCGCTTCAAAGCAAAAATCTGCACGTTGTCACATGACACAAGCTAACCTCAGCTCAATAGAGCAGCTGTTTTCTATCAATTTGGAAATTATTTGAATTATTTTACAATGTCATTGATTAAAATATGTCGGAAAGATAAATTCATAGTAGCCTCCGGCTCGTGGTATAAAACCTGACACGTGACGCATAAAACCCCATGTACCCTTCATGATCCGGCTACAACTTATGATGTACCTAATCTTGTGAATACAGTCTCCATTCTGTCAACTTTAAGCTGACCTCTCATAGCGTACATTTCAGTAATTTTCTCCTTCTTCCAGGCAATATTTTCTCCAGCCTGGAAGGACTGTCCTTTGAGTGGAGCCTGGTGTCGGACACCGAGACAGGCCATGATGTCATTGACGCCCACAATATTCTCCGGTACTCACCACGTTTAGTTCACACAACTTGAAATACGGCCCACAATATACTCCGGTACTCACCACGTTTAGTTCACACGACTTGAAATACAGCCCACAATATACTCCGGTACTCACCACGTTTAGTTCACACGACTTGAAATACAGGCCACAATATACTCCAGTACTCACCACGTTTAGTTCACACGACTTGAAATACAGGCCATTATATAATGGTACTCACCATGTTTAGTTCACACGACTTGAAATACAGCCCACAATATTCTCCGGTACTCACCACGTTTAGTTCACACAACTTGAAATACAGCCCACAATATTCTCCGGTACTCACCACCTTTAGTTCACACGACTTGAAATACAGCCCACAATATACTCCGGTACTCACCACGTTTAGTTCACACAACTTGAAATACAGGCCACAATATACTCCGGTACTCACCACGTTTAGTTCACACGACTTGAAATACAGGCCACAATATACTCCAGTACTCACCACGTTTAGTTCACACGACTTGAAATACAGCCCACAATATACTCCGGTACTCACCACGTTTAGTTCACACGACTTGAAATACAGCCCACAATATACTCCGGTACTCACCACGTTTAGTTCACACGACTTGAAATACAGGCCACAATATACTCCGGTACTCACCACGTTTAGTTCACACGACTTGAAATACAGCCCACAATATACTCCGGTACTCACCACGTTTAGTTCACACGACTTGAAATACAGCCCACAATATACTCCGGTACTCACCACGTTTAGTTCACACGACTTGAAATACAGCCCACAATATACTCCGGTACTCACCACGTTTAGTTCACACGACTTGAAATACAGCCCACAATATACTCCGGTACTCACCACGTTTAGTTCACATGACTTGAAATACAGGCCACAATATACTCCAGTACTCACCACGTTTATTTCACACGACTTGAAATACAGGCCACAATATTCTCCGGTACTCACCACGTTTAGTTCACACGACTTGAAATACAGCCCACAATATACTCCAGTACTCACCACGTTTAGTTCACACGACTTGAAATACAGGCCACTATATAATGGTACTCACCACGTTTAGTTCACACAACTTGAAATGAAAGAAACAATCGAACCATGAAGGTCCGGGGGAGAATAGGTCTTCAGCAATCCATGCTTGCCGTAAAAGGCATCTTCCCGAGGCAAGAGAGTTAACTGACTTTAAAAGTCCAGTTTCCACCCTTGTCAAACTAGGCTGGAATTACTGGGCTTGATCGTAGCGCCACCAGTGGCTATTACCAGTTATGTCTCCTCTAAGCCTCTCCTATGGACCAATCAGATTCCACCTGTCATATCACTTGCATTTGTTTCACACAAAATGGTGGCGCCCAGTCAGGACAATCTGATCGATAATCAAGATCTATATTGTGATAAAACGGGTCTTACATCGCGAAATGCATCAAATCACGTGAGCACCTTCATTAAAAACATGTAAAGATTTGGAAAATATCTGCTGACAACAAGTTGGCGGTGCACATGCTTTGCAAATCATGCAATCGACCGAAATCTTCATGACAGTTTACGAACAGGATTTCGATTTCGGTGTGCAATTTTGATTGGACTATGCATAGACTCGTTAGTCCAGCCAAAATGTAACTCCATAATACCAGCCTAGTTCGGCAAGGGTGGAAACTGGACTTTTATAGCCAGTTAACTCTCTTGCCTCGGGAAGATGCGTAAAAGGTGACTATGCTTGTCGTAAAAGGTGACTAACGGGATCAGGTGGAGAGGCTCGCTGACTTGATTGATGCATGTCATCGATCCCAATTGCGTGGTTTGATGCTCATGATATCAATCACTGGATTGTCTGGTCCAGACTCAATCATTTACAGACTGCCGTCATATAGTTGGAATATTGCTGTCTGCAGCGTTAAACAACAAACAAACAAACTAAAGAAACAGTCACACAATAAGGGAAAGTAAGTCTTGCTTGATTATTGATTGGTCTATTTTACAAATTGTTACTGTAAATGACAAACATGGTGAAAATGGGGGGTCCTGTCATCCAAGGCAGAGCAGTTCAGTGTGCTTCCTGGACTGATACCGAAGTTGGAATACTCACTCACTCACTCACTCACTCACTCACTCACTCACTCACTCACTGTAAGGTCATATACATGGTGGTACATGTCATGTTCAAGTTATATTATTGTCTGGTCTTTTTAGAATCAAGATGTTTGCGGACTCGCACTACACGACCCCCCAGCACATCGCTCCTCTTGAAGACCGTGGTCTGCAGGGAGATCGGATCCTGGCTGAGGGCATCCGCACCGGAAGTGCCAAGATCAGCATGAAACTCAAAGACCCAGTTTACAAGGTAGGAAACTGGGTACATAGTTGCCTCCCTTTGCTACTACAGGATATGCTCAGTGGTTTCAAGAAAAGATTATGATCCTTGATCTGTGGTGGGAGACAGTAACAAGTTAAGTGGTGTCTGAGTTGCTTCCCTTTGCTGCTACAGGATAGGCTTATAATTGGTTTAAATCCCAACAATGTATAAAAGTGTGCAACCTGTGGTACTTTCAGATTCCTTCCTACATGAAATGTCAATCCTCAAATCAACTATTCACTGAGTTGCAATGATGATTGCAATACATTGATGAGGGGTTTAGAGGACGGGAAATATAATGTCTTATTGCATAGAAATTGAGAAACTTCCGCCTGAATCATTACTACTAGTTCAGTTGTTGCATGCACACAGCGTTAACCTGTCCTCACAATCAAAGTTCAGAATGACAATTTCTTTGTTTCTTCATTGGATCACCCAGTTTGGTTACAGTCAAGAAATCACCTTTCATGATACGTGTATGTCTTCACAGCACAAAGAGTGAATGAAGTACATGTCTCAGTTCCCTGGATCGTGGTGTTCTTGCTTTTCTTGAGAATACCTGACATGGCTGATTGCTGCATTACACATACACGCTCTTGTTGTCCAGCACATCGAGGCCATCGACGTTCGGATCATGGTGATTGCCAACCTGATGCTGAGTCCCCCAGACGCCTACGTGCTGAAGTTTGCCATCATCAAGTATATAGTGGAGCTGCTGAAACACAACACACTCACAAGTAGGTCGCTGTGTTCATTCCAGTTTTAATCCACTCAAACACCACTCAATTACAAGAGTAATGGCTGCCACATCCAGGCAAAATATCACATGTTTCAAGTAACGTTGAAAACTTGGATCGGAAATGATATGAATAAAGATCATGCATATAGTAAGCACTCAGCACAGGAGTACCCACTCACTACTTCCGATGTCACCTGGTGACTTCAGTGTTGTCCCATTGTCTGTGGGATTGATACTCCTCCTCTCCACAACTGAAAATGTGTTAAATAACAGTACCGAAACAAAGCTGCACTGCACCCAACTGACACCTGCCACATAACATTGCACCCAACCAACTCCTGCCACATAATATTGCACCCAACCAACGCCTGCCACATAATATTGCACCCAACCAACTCCTGCCACATAATATTGCATCCAACCAACTCCTGCCACATAATATTGCACCAACCAACCCCTGCCACATAATATTGCACCCAACCAACCCCTGCCACATAATATTGCACCCAACCAACTCCTGCCACATAATATTGCACTCAACCAACTCCTGCCACATAATATTGCACCCAACCAACCCCTGCCACATAATATTGCATCCAACCAACTCCTGCCACATAATATTGCACCCAACCAACTCCTGCCACATAATATTGCACTCAACCAACTCCTGCCACATAATATTCCACCCAACCAACTCCTGCCACATAATATTGCACCCAACCAACCCCTGCAACATAATATTGCATCCAACCAACTCCTGCCACATAATATTGCACCCAACCAACCCCTGCCACATAATATTGCATCCAACCAACTCCTGCCACATAATATTGCACTCAACCAACTCCTGCCACATAATATTGCACTCAACCAACTCCTGCCACATAATATTGCACCCAACCAACCCCTGCCACATAATATTGCATCCAACCAACTCCTGCCACATAATATTGCACCCAACCAACTCCTGCCACATAATATTGCACCCAACCAACCCCTGCCACATAATATTGCACTCAACTGACCCCTGCCACATAATATTCAGGGATGTGAAATCTCTGCGGAAATGCGGAAAATCACGTTTTTTAAAACAGTAGTCCTCGGATAAAATCATCTTCCGCGTAAAAATTAAATACAAAATTTGAAAAAAAAACACTCTGAAAAATATGATCGAAAACCGGACAACCATCGCGGAATGTCCTGTTTTCGATCAGAGCTTTCACCAGCATAGGTTTTCGGACATCATACGTTTTCTATCACGAATACTTGCACTATAACATGGGGTGTGGCGTCACACAGAAATTGTAAATACTCAGAGTCAGCTGATGGCTTGTTTTTAAGATAAAGTTGTCTTTTAGCCTGTAAGTGAATGAGATGTTGTTCATGTGATTAGCGAGAAAACTATGAATGTTTCTTCAGCGTCCAAAACCCCATAACATGGGGATATATGTTGTATTAATGTCTTATGTTTGCAATGGAGTTTTGTTTTTTTCATCAAAAGGTAAGTACAAAGTAAGTTTTTTTTCAATATGCTTCAACATGGGGAAAGGGTCAGACATTGCACGCTTGTGACAGTTGTCCTTGTGTCTGGGGGATGGGGGTTGAAGTTTATGGCAGTATTGCTCCCAGACCTGGCGGGTAGCCAGGGGTGCGTAAGCTATGCCCGATTTTTTTAAAGTACTGATTTAACTTCGAAATTTTACTGCATCTGCCATCTTGTTTATTTGACTTATTGACTTTTGCCATTGACTTATTACATTTCTTGGTGTGAATGTTGTCCAAACTGCACAAAATTGCTTAATATGCAATCACATGTTTAAAAAATTTCTGGGGGGGCATTCCCCTAGACCCCCCTAGACTTTTCCTCTTTTTTTGGGAAAACCTGCTCACATCCCTGATATTGCACTCAACTGACCCCCTGCCACATAATATTGCACTCAACCCAACCCCTGCCACATAATATTGCACCCAACCAACTCCTGCCACATAATATTGCACCCAACCAACGCCTGCCACATAATATTGCACCCAACCAACTCCTGCCACATAATATTGCATCCAACCAACTCCTGCCACATAATATTGCACTCAACCAACTCCTGCCACATAATATTGCACCCAACCAACCCCTGCCACATAATATTGCACCCAACCAACCCCCTGCCACATAATATTGCATCCAACCAACCCCTGCCACATAATATTGCACCCAACCAACCCCTGCCACATAATATTGCACCCAACCAACCCCTACCACATAATATTGCACCCAACCAACCCTTGCCACATAATATTGTACCCAACCAACCCCTGCCACATAATATTGCACCCAACCAACCCTTGCCACATAATATTGCACCCAACCAACCCCTGCCACAGTATATTGCACCCAACCAACTCCTGCCACATAATATTGCATTCAACAGACCCCTGCCACATATTGCACTCAACCAACCCCTGCCACATAATATTGCACCAAACCAACCCCTGCCACATAATATTGCACCAAACCAACCCCTGCCACATAATATTGCACCAAACCAACCCCTGCCACATAATATTGCACCCAACCAACCCCTGCCACATAATATTGCACCCATCCAACCCCTGCCACATAATATTGCACCAAACCAACCCCTGCCACATAATATTGCACCCAACCAACCCCTGCCACATAATATTGCACCAAACCAACCCCTGCCACATAATATTGCACCAAACCAACCCCTGCCACATAATGTTGCATTCAACTGACCCCTGCCACATAATATTGCATCCAACCAACCCCTGCCACATAATATTGCACCCAACCAACCCCTACCACATAATATTGCACCCGACCAACCCTTGCCACATAATATTGCACCCAACCAACCCTTGCCACATAATATTGCACCCGACCAACCCTTGCCACATAATATTGCACCCGACCAACCCCTGCCACATAACATTGCACCCAACTGACTCCTTCGACACATGTTGCAGAGATCAAGATGCCATCACCACAGTACTACCTGGAGATGAAGGACAACGACATCTGCAGCCTCGACACTTCGACCTCTGTTGCCACGGCTTTGGAGATGGGCTCCACAAACATCGTCCTCAAGGACAGGAGTATCCTTCCATGTCTGCCGGCCGCCAGCCTGCCCTTCTGATGACATGCACCACTATGCAGTTCTCACAAACCTGGTTTTAACCTTATACTTCTTCAATTCCCTTACCTCGACCACATCATGGCCATAACATAGGCGGATCCAGAGGGGGGCCCCCGCGTTACTGAAAACCAAATGTAGTATGTTGTGGGCAGTAAAAGTATCTGAGAACGGATTTTGATATTTTGGACTCTTTACCTTTTAAAATGTGTGATCCGCCCTTGCATATGTTCATGTTTGGGCTGAGAGTCACACTATAAAATTTGATACATTTCCACATTTCTTAAAATTTAGATCTGTTTTTTTAGAACTCTCAAATGCTACTTGAGTAGTCAATGAGGCTTGTTGGTTTGTTGTTTTAAGCTACACTCAGCAATATTCCAGCAATATGATGGCGGTCTGTAAATAATCGAGTCTGGACCAGATGCAATTGGGATACGGACAACCATCATTGGATTTGTACTTGCCCACAGCCCAATCTTTGGCTAGCACACTAGGGTGAAGGCTGGTACCACTCTTGAGATGTAACTCTGGTGGTCCGAGGTTATGCATGATGGCTGTGGACAACTCTCCTATTGGAGCATCAACACTCCTTGTTTATTGAAGTGCAGAGATGGTGGTGACTAGGATCTCCACACACTGACACTTTGTCTCTTTGTGAATTGCGTAATTCTATATTTGCTTATTATTTCCTCAGGGGCAGTCGGGTAGCCTAGGGGTTAAAGCGTTTGCTCGTCATGCCGAAGACCCGGGTTCAATTCCCGACATGGGAATATGTGTGAAACCCATTTCTGGTGTCCCCAGCCGTGATATTACTTGAATATTGCTAAAAGCGGCGTAAAACCATACTCATTCAATCATTGGTATTATTTCCTCACAAAGTGTTGAAGACAAATAAACCCAGTGTTGACATGGTGCCTTTTCCCATCTGTTTGGCTTTTTGATGGTAACAAATGATGCTGGACTTCAGAGTATGACCCATGAAGATGCGGGGTAGAATAGGTCTTCAGCAGCCCATGCTTGCCGTAAAAGGTGACTATGCTTGTTGTAAGAGATTGGGTGGTCAGAGTGGGGGACTTGGTTGATGCATGTCATCGTATCCCAATTGCATGGATCGATGCTCATGGTGTCGATCACTGAATTGAGTGGTCCAGACTCGATTATTTACAGACTGCCATCATATAGCTGGAATATTGCAGAGTGCGTAATTAAACAACAAATAAACAAACAAACAAATTTAAGAATACATCATGTGGTGAGGTTACTTGAGTGTTGCAAATGACCTTGACATACTTCAGATATTCTTGTGACTGAGTTTTTCCGCCAACCATCGGCCCTCATCCATGTTGTGAACCCTGGCTACCTCGGTAAGACAGACAACCAATCATATGTTCACCCTGGCTACCTCGGTAAGACAGACAACCAATCATATGTTAACCCTGGCTACCTCGGTAAGACAGACAACCAATCATATGTTCACCCTGGCTACCTCGGTAAGACAGCTTTAATAGACAACCAATCATATGTTCACCCTGGCTACCTCGGTAAGACAGTTTTAATAGACAACCAATCATATGTTCACCCTGGCTACCTCGGTAAGACAGACAACCAATCATATGTTCACCCTGGCTACCTCGGTAAGACAGCTTTAATAGACAACCAATCATATGTTCACCCTGGCTACCTCGGTAAGACAGCTTTAATAGACAACCAATCATATGTTCACCCTGGCTACCTCGGTAAGACAGCTTTAATAGACAACCAATCATATATTCACCCTGGCTACCTCGGTAAGACAGCTTTAATAGACAACCAGTCATATGTTAACCCTGGCTACCTCGGTAAGACAGCTTTAATAGACAACCAATCATATGTTCACCCTGGCTACCTCGGTAAGACAGCTTTAATAGACAACCAATCATATGTTCACCCTGGCTACCTCGGTAAGACAGCTTTAATAGACAACCAATCATATGTTAACCCTGGCTACCTCGGTAAGACAGCTTTAATAGACAACCAATCATATATTCACCCTGGTTACCTCGGTAAGACAGCTTTAATAGACAACCAGTCATATGTTCACCCTGGCTACCTCGGTAAGACAGCTTTAATAGACAACCAATCATATGTTCACCCTGGCTACCTCGGTAAGACAGCTTTAATAGACAACCAATCATATGTTAACCCTGGCTACCTCGGTAAGACAGCTTTAATAGACAACCAATCATATGTTCACCCTGGCTACCTCGGTAAGACAGCTTTAATAGACAACCAATCATATATTCACCCTGGTTACCTCGGTAAGACAGCTTTAATAGACAACCAGTCATATGTTCACCCTGGCTACCTCGGTAAGACAGCTTTAATAGACAACCAATCATATGTTCACCCTGGCTACCTCGGTAAGACAGCTTTAATAGACAACCAGTCATATGTTAACCCTGGCTACCTCGGTAAGACAGCTTTAATAGACAACCAATCATATGTTCACCCTGGCTACCTCGGTAAGACAGCTTTAATAGACAACCAATCATATGTTAACCCTGGCTACCTCGGTAAGACAGTTAATAGACAACCAATCATATGTTCACCTCTCTATTCTTTAACACATATGTCTTATGAGACACAGGTATCCTAGGTGTCTATGGCGCCGTAATTCACTTTAACTTTGACCTTGACCTTTAGGGTTGTAACAAAGACGCCTTGTCCACTTACCACTTAAATATAAAAAAACTGTCTGGATGATGTTTCCGCATCTGTTTTGAGATGCAAAGAAATAGAAAATAGTGAAGGATTCAGCAGTTTGTGGAATTACGTGGTGCTGTGACATGAAGTATTGACATGATTTCCTCTCCAGCATTCGTTGTCCTGCCGACCAAGAAGTGGGTTCTGGAGACGGGCCGGGAATACGACATCTTCATTGAGGTGTATGACAAGGATAGTCACAAGATCTACCCCTCCGATGTGAGTTGGACATCATGTCTCTCTTCAATGGCGACTGCAGCCTTGGACATTCTCTTCCAAGTTTATTGAGTTGTTTTCTTAAAGAAGAGCAATTGTAGCTTGTCAGTGTCACTGTGATATGTGTATTATCTCACATGTGATATGTGTATTATCTCATGTGTGATATGTGTATTATCTCACGTGTGATATGTGTATTATCTCACGTGTGATATGTGTATTATCCCACTTGTGATATGTGTATTATCTCACGTGTGATATGTGTATTATCCCACGTGTGATATGTGTATTATCTCATGTGTGATATGTGTATTATCTCACGTGTGATATGTGTATTATCTCACGTGTGATATGTGTATTATCCCACTTGTGATATGTGTATTATCTCACGTGTGATATGTGTATTATCTCACGTGGGATATGTGTATTATCTCACGTGTGATATGTGTATTATCTCACGTGTGATATGTGTATTATCCCACGTGTGATATGTGTATTATCCCACGTGTGATATGTGTATTATCTCACGTGTGATATGTGTATTATCTCACGTGTGATATGTGTATTATCTCACGTGTAATATGTGTATTATCTCACGTGTGATATGTGTATTATCTCACGTGTGATATGTGTATTATCTCATGTGTGATATGTGTATTATCCCACGTGTGATATGTGTATTATCTCACGTGTGATATGTGTATTATCCCACGTGTGATATGTGTATTATCTCATGTGTGATATGTGTATTATCTCACGTGTGATATGTGTATTATCTCACGTGTGATATGTGTATTATCCCACGTGTGATTCATTTTTTGTCTGTAAACTTGGGTTTCTTTTTGTGGTGTACTGATGTTAGCAGACAACAAGCATTGTTTGCACAACATGCATGTTTCTGCGTTAGTGTTTTTTCTGGCACTATATCCTTTCGCTCAACTTGCGGTCAATACAGTAAACTATGTTAATAACGAACACGCTTATAACGAACTGACAGATATGACAAACTTACTTTTTTGTCACGACTATTTGCTGTAGTTATGCTGTATATATGCTTATAACAAACTACGGTTATAACAAACTAAAATTAGTAGTCCCTTTGAGTTTGTTATGAGCGTAGTTTACTGTACTTGCGCTCAATACTTACGCTGAATATTAAAGTTGGGACATTTGGCAAACTATAGGGGTCCCTGTAATCACAGGAATGAAATAACTGATGACTATGTATGTGATTGGATGATTTGTTCAGCCTCTCCTTCATCCCCCTGGAGTTTGTAGATGACGTCGTTATGGTTACAGAGGACGATTTGTTGATGTGTGAATTGTTGTTCCCAGAACGTTCGGATCGAGGCCGCATTCCCCTCCAAGTACTTCAAGGTGTTGTCCTCCACTGTGAACGGGACGTACCACCGCGTACAGACACTGGTCAAGGGCTTCACCGACATTGATGGCGCTCTCACAGCTGTCATACGAGAGGTCTGTACACTGCAGTATATTTACACAATAGTTGTGTTTCACATGTGTGCTCTGAACCTTCTCCTAAATCATGGTAAGTATTAGCAAAAATTAACATTGATAGAAATACGCTCATCATTTATATAGAGCAACTTTTGTTTTAGGAATGAAATATAAATTAACTTGATGATGGTAAAATGAGACAGTGATGAGTTAATGGTCTTGGCCATGTGATTCTGATGTACCTGCACAGACGAGAGGTGCATTTGGGTGAGATGTTTTCTCTGTTCTCCGGGAACACAGTTTAGGAAGTTTTCACAATCTTTTGGAAAAAGAAGAGATAAGCAATAAGCATGAGTCAAGATAAGTGGAAATGATATTTTTACTAAAAAAATAAGTACATTTTGAAGAGAAATGAAGAATGATGAGCACGTAGAGATAAGAGATAAGACAACTTGTGATGAGCTTCATGAGGTCATAGCCGCCACAGTTGAGTGCAGCGCTGCAGTTACTGTACTGAGTTGCATTCCTTGTTGTACCAGGATCCTATGATGGTGGGTTTGAATCCAAGATTCACCCTGGTTTGTCAGAACCATAGCCATGCATGGGGATGTCACCAGGTGTCGAGCACTGGCATCACTTCAGGCCTTCTTCCAAAGTTTGGCTGACATGCAGTGTTATGACTGAAATACTGTTCAGTTTAGTGTTGGACCCAACTCACTGACTCGTGTGTCTGTTGTTTAGGATGGGTCCGAGTACGCCATCACACCCAACGTGAAGGGGAGCCAGGAGGTGGAGATCTACGACCCCATCATCGTCGACCCCCCTGAACTCTTCTTCCCATGGGACCCCCTCTCGCAGTGCAGACACACCTACAAGATCAAGGTGAGAGGTCAAGGTCACATACTCACCCTGCACAGGAACAAAGTCATCTTATTCTGAAACATTTGATTTTCAGTTATTTTTCAAACTTTTTTATGTCAAACTTTCCATGTAAAGAAATCCTGCAAAATTACCCAAATATTAGTTGATGAAACATTGTAGTGTTGTTATTGAATATCACCGCTGTGTTATAGCTAGAGTCTCCCTCCCTCCCTCCCTCCCTCACTCACTCACTCACTCACTCACTTTATTGCAGGCCAGTGGTGGGAGTGGTGAGTACGTCTGGAGCACCCTCAACGCCAGCATCACCAACGTCAACATCAAGGGTGAGATTGTCACCATGGGTCTGGGCAGCACCAACGTCACAGCCGCTGATGCAAAGAACTCCGCCCACACAGGCACTGTGCAGGTAGGTGTTCAGGACAACTCATAACGTGTTTGGGACAACTTATAACATAAGGAAGAGAATATATGGATGTCAACTTCTTTATTATGAAGAACACAACGTTTTGGAGTATATGCTTACTCCTTCACCTGATGAAGGAGTAAGCATATACTCTGAAATGTTGTGTTCCTCATAATAAGTTGAGGGGGCACGGGTGGCCCAGTCGTCTAAGGCGCCGCAATTTGCTGTGCAGAGTTGCATCCCCTGGGCACGCCAGAAACCTATGATTGTGGGTTCGAATCCCGGTTTGCCCCGATTATGTTTCTAGGTTTGTCAGCACCATACCCGTGCTCGTGGGTTTCACCGAAGTGGTAAACCTCTGAGACCTGCATCTCTTCGGGCTTTCCTCCCACATTAAACTGACACGCCATGATATAACTGGAATACTGTTAAAAGCGGCGTTAAACACAACTCACTCACTCACTCATAATAAGTTGACATCAATACATTATCTTCCTTATGTGTATCACTTCTAAATGTCTTTCAAAGACTGGACTCATAACATGTTCGGGACAACTCATGAAGTGGTAATGTCTTTGGGACAATTCGTAACATGTTTGGGACAACAGGTAACTTGTTTGGGACAATTCGTAACATGTTTGGGACAACTGGTAACTTGTTTGGGACAATTCGTAACATTTGAGATATTTCTATTTGAATACTGGCAGCTACACACATTGTTAATGAGATGGCCGTACGACTTAGAAAACAATGCCATCAATCAGCCGACTGTTGCACAAAACAACATTCATTCATTCTCCCCTAGATGCCTTCATTTGTACAGAGTTGCCTCCCAGGATCCTATGATTGGTGGCTCGAATCACAGATCAGCCCTGATTGTTGTTTTTTGTCATTTTGTATCCTGGTAGATTCGTATCCGTTCCTATATGTTTTTTACCTATAGTGCGTTCTGTATCTCGACAGCTTTCTATAAGCTCTGTGTGTGTGTGGGATGGGAGGGGGAGAGATATGAAACTGCTGAGATAAGGAACGTACTATAGAGGGCGAATCTACCGAAGTACGAAATGACCTCTTACTGTCCTTGGCTCCCAGTGTTCGTGGGTTTCACCAAAGTAGTAAATGTCAAAGATAGCCATTAATTTAGGCTTTCCTCACGCATGAAGCTGACACGTGATATGACAGAAATAATGTTCATAACTGACACCCAACTGATTTAAGTACTTGATTACAGGTTCACGTGCTGCCCCCGTCTGACCTCTCGTTCCCCCCGACCAAGGTCGAGGCCGCTGTCGGCACAACACTCAGTATCCCACTCCAGGTGGCAGCACTGTATCGAGGTACGGAATACTGCGGAAAATCAGCTGTAGACTGAAGCTGAAGTCTATAAAACCAGAACTGAAATCGGCTGCAGTTTAGTGATACCAGAGGATATATATTTGTTGACTGAGCATGATATGTAACTTGGAAAAGCTCAATACAAAAGGACTGTTATTAGTAGGAAATTAGTGGTCTGCCAGACTGCTTTCTCTGTGAAACAGCTGTGACATTTGAATTTCTTAGATACAATAAGTGTTACTCAGAATGAAGGGGTATGGTTTGTATCAGTAAGACTTAGTTGATGTTGGGCCTAAGCTACAACTGAAGGTCAACGTGCTTGTACGTTTCAGGCAAGTTACACAGCTTCATGGACTGCCGCGAAATGCCCCTCAACGTGACGTACAGCGACAGCACGGTGTTCGACCAGCAGGGAGGTAGGTTGTGGCGGAAGAGCAACATTCTGACATTGCTGGAAGACTGAAAAAAGTGTGAGATAAGCAATCATTTGAGTTGTCTCCCACAAGAGGTTGGGGGACTTTGGACTTATGCCCCACCATCCATTGGAGTCATTTCCTACTTTATCATTACTGAAGATGGAATTCACTCGTTTACAACCTTCACTTTTTCAGCTCAGAGACGGCCATCGTTGTCCTGAATTGTTTGATAGGCATTACTTAGAAGTTGACGGATGACAAAGATCTGTATAGATCCAGTTATGCTTGACAACGGTATAAGGATCTATACCGAATGGTATTATAGTATTAAAGAAGTTGTTATCCATAAATTATGTCTACTTTGTCATTGTTGTCCTAGCATTCATTGTGGCTGTTTCCTCCCCAGGGGATGTGAAGCTGACCAGCAGTGGCTGTACTGTACTCAACTTCATGGCCAAGCGTCAAGGTCACACAGAGGTGACAGCATCCTATCAGCTCGGCAACGTCGTCCTTCAAGACTCGATCACGATCGCGGCGTACAACCCACTGAAGGTGAGCAAGGAAACAGTGGATTGGAATATCACGTCTCATCTGACCTTGGGGTGTCTGTCTGACCTGCAGGTTTAGCTCAGAGGTGGAAATATCGCGTCCCATCTGATCCTGGGCTGTCTGTCCAACCTGCAGGTTTAGCTCAGAGGTGGAAATATCACGTCTCATCTGACCCTGGGCTGTCTGACCTGCAGGTTTCAGGGATGTGAAATCTCCGCGGAAACGCGGAAAATCGCGTTTTTTAAAACAGTAGTCCTCGGGAAAAATCATCTTCCGCGTAAAAATTTAGCTCAGAGGTGGATATATCTAGCAGATGTTTATGAACATTATTCTTATTTACGTATTTGTCGCAGAATGAGGTGCTGTGTGTTGGGCACAAATCAAGTGAAGTTAAGCAATGTTTTTTCATGAAGAGTAGGAGGATGGTGACAGTGTTCAGCAGCTTGACTCCTGGGAGTTTCTAGGGCATCAGTGCTTCCCCGTGCTCAGGGAGTGTCACATGATGTCTCCTATGAAAATTTGCCTCCGTTCACCCAGCAGTAAATGGGGGGGGGGGGGGAGAATTAGATGATCATGTGACTTCTAGCCCCTCACAGGCAACTTGTGTTTCATTCTCCCCAGGGAGCTGAGAATGTAAATGTACATTTGTTTCACTGGTTTCAAGTTGATTGTAGATGGCAATAAGATACTAAGATACATTGTCACTCACCTCAACATATTCAAAATTCTTTCGGCTATAAGAATAAAAAAAGCAAAGACAAGAGTTTTCGCCTCTCATAACTGCAAGTCAGGTGAGATCATGTTGTCTGTCTTAACCTTTGTGTCAGCTGAAACACTTGGCAACAAATGTCCTCTCTGTGATCTTCTTCTGAAAGGAAACAGTGAAACAATGTCTCGTATCAGGGTTTTGAATTTGAACGTTTCCTCTAAAGATGTGTAGTTCATACTATTTATCATTATTTTATGAAAGTTATATGCTTTTGTTGACAGACATATCGGGTGGTTTCAGAAACATTACATTTATTTGCAGCCTATAGATCCGGAGAAAGAGGCAGTAATCGCCGTGGCAACGTCGAAGGAGGTGGTGTTCCAGGGTGGGCCTCAGCCATGGGTGCTGGACTCCTCCCAGTACTTCCAGACATGTCAGTACACACACTCCGTCTCCTGGCAGCATTACCTTACATAGTCTCCAACCCTAGCATTCACTCATCCAAGAATATTCTCCTGCCTTGTGCACCCTCCATAAAGCTAAGTGCTGAGGTGATCATATCTCCTGTGGTTTAATATACAGGCCCTGTTCCACAGAGCAACCATAGCGCCACGACTGTCGTAATCCTATATTATGTTGTGGGAGTTACGATCACCTCAGCGCCAAGACTGTCGTAATCCTATATTATGTTGTGGGAGTTACGATCACCTCAGCCCCACGACTGTCGTAATCCTATATTATGTTGTGGGAGTTACGATCACCTCAGCGCCAAGACTGTCGTAATCCTATATTATGTTGTGGGAGTTACGATCACCTCAGCCCCACGACTGTCGTAATCCTATATTATATTGTGGGAGTTACGATCTCCTTAGCACTATGACAATCGTAAGTCTATGTTAAAGTATGTGAGTTACGATCACCTTAGCACTATGACTATCCTAAGTCTATGTTAAAGTATGTGAGTTACGATCTCCTTAGCACTATGACAATTGTAAGTCTATGTTAAAGTATGTGAGTTACGATCACCTTAGCACTATGACAATCGTAAGTCTATGTTAAAGTATGTGAGTTACGATCTCCTTAGCACTATGACAATTGTAAGTCTATGTTAAAGTATGTGAGTTACGATCACCTTAGCACTATGACTATCCTAAGTCTATGTTAAAGTATGTGAGTTACGATCACCTCAGCTCGACGACTATCGTAAGTCTATGTTAAAGTATGTGAGTTATGACGATCACCTCAGCACTATGACTATCGTAAGTCTATGTTAAAGTATGGGAGTTATGATGATCACCTTAGCATTATGACTATCGTAAGTCTATGTTAAAGTATGGGAGTTATGATCACCTCAGCACTGACTATCGTAAGTCTATGTTAAAGTATGGGAGTTATGACGATCACCTCAGCACTGACTATCGTAAGTCTATGTTAAAGTATGGGAGATATGACGATCACCTCAGCACTATGACTATCGTAAGTCTATGTTAAAGTATGGGAGTTATGACGATCACCTCAGCACTATGACTATCGTAAGTCTATGTTAAAGTATGGGAGTTATGATGATCACCTCAGCATTATGACTATCGTAAGTCTATGTTAAAGTATGGGAGTTATGATCACCTCAGCACTGACTATCGTAAGTCTATGTTAAAGTATGGGAGTTATGACGATCACCTCAGCACTATGACTATCGTAAGTCTATGTTAAAGTATGGGAGTTATGACGATCACCTCAGCACTATGACTATCGTAAGTCTATGTTAAAGTATGGGAGATATGACGATCACCTCAGCACTATGACTATCGTAAGTCTATGTTAAAGTATGGGAGTTATGACGATCACCTCAGCACTATGACTATCGTAAGTCTATGTTAAAGTATGGGAGTTATGATGATCACCTCAGCACTGACTATCGTAAGGCTATGTTAAAGTATGGGAGTTATGATGATCATCTCAGCACTATGACTATCGTAAGTCTATGTTAAAGTATGGGAGTTACAATCACCTTGAGTCGCTAGATGGATGAAACATGTGAAACCCATTCCGGCTTCACTCACCATGACATTGATGGAATGTTGCTCACCGCAGAGCTGTGTATGTTGACTGTGTTGTTGCAGTGAGTCCCGAGAGACCCGCCATCATCAAGATTCAGAAGATGAACATGTTCAGCGTCAACAGTAAGTATCTCTGTGAAATACATGACAACCTCTCACCAGCGGAGGACAGCATGGCTCCCTCAGTAAGTTCCTTCATCACCCGTGAAAACATACATACAATTTGTAGTGTTGTGTTGAAGTCTATCTGTAGTCAACCAATCAGATGAGGCTGTTATAAATGGAGTGAGCTCGACTCAACGCATGTGTAGAGCAGACGTCAAGTAACGTTACACATGTGTGAAGAAAGCTTAACGCTGGCATCTCTCGCCAAAGTAGGGCTTTGCTTGATTTATTGTTTGTAAATAGAAACAACACTGCAGGGTGGCTGGATGTTGTCATGGGTGATGGAGGAACATCGTGTAAGAGACGGAGGTATTGAGGATGTCACGGTTGACGCTCCTGCCAATGTAACACCCAGTGTTTTACTTCAAGTTCCAGGTGGCGCTGCATGAGCATGTGTGGCTTGTTCCTCTCGTGTTGAGAATATCTGATAACATAACGACATTAACATACTATTGACTAAAACCGGATTTTATTTGCATGTTGACGCATGTGAACACTGTATGTTTTCTTTTCTGAAGTTCATTTAACCAACTTTCAGCATTAATGAATATCAAGCAGTTTTTGTCAACTATCACACGATTATCACAAGGTAAATTATGTTACTGTTATATCAGAATCTTTGCCAACTGATAAAAAAGGTGAGATTTTTCACTTTTGCGCTTATATTGTTACTTGGGCAGGCATACAAACTCTGCAGGTATCTCTCGACTTGATGCAAGATCTGTCTCATACAAACAGCCAAAAATTTGCGGCATCTAAATCAACAAGTTTTATGGATATTTACCTTTTTTTAATTGCTCAGTTTATTTTATTGTTGTCTTTCAAGGGTCACAGAATTAATTTACTTTACGGATGGTTTAGATGCTTCCTTGATTGACATGTGTTTAACATTTCCACTGTGTGATAAGTACCTGGACCATGCACTACATAGTGAAATGTTGGAGACCCCTGGTGGAATAGTCCTGATTTGTTGAACTTTACGTTTAAGTTTCGGTGTCTGGTATGTCTTGCATCATGAAAATATTCCTTCTTGCCCTAATATTCCTTCTTGCCCTGATATTCCTTCTTGTACTGATATTCCTTCTTGTCCTATTGATAGTCGTTGGACTTGGTGCTATGTATACTTGACGATGTTACATCTCATTGCTATTGTGAAGATCTGGGAAATATAAGTGTAGACCAAGATACAGCAAGGCATCATGTATGGCTAAAAGATCTTTGTTGTCAAAATATGATTTGCCTGGATCAGCTCATGAGTATTTCCTGCCTGGTAAACAAGTCATATCGGTGCCTGTCGGAGTTCGCTGTGCAGTCATGTGTCCATAAGGCTGCCAAAATCCTGTGATCATGGGTTCGAATCCGAGATGCACTATGAGCAGGCTTCTTGGTTTGTCTGCTCCATGCCTGTCCTCAAAGATTTTCAGGGGCGGTCAGGTAGCCTAGTGGTTAAAATGTTCACTCGTCACGCTGAAGACCCAGGTACGATTCCCGACATGGGTACAAAGTGTGAAGCCCATTTCTGGTGTCTGCCAAATATTGCTAAAAGCGGCGTAATACCATACTCACTCACTCACTCACTCACTCACTCAAGTATTTTCTCACGCGGTAATCATCCTACATCACTGCGGTCTTTCCTTCCACATCGGCTGCCCCAATGTGAATCCAGATGAGAAAACTACGAGTTTGTAGCAAGACCGATAGCAAGGGCAAGACATTCTATACCTCGTCTCTGTTGGTTTTGTCTCCCCTATATTTGCTAAGTTTGTAGCCTTCTTGCCTCCTGTGTCGTACCTGTGAATTTATTCGGGGGAATGACGTGTGATATTGTTACATAAGACCATCTACATGCTGATTTAACCACTGCTGGTTGTGTTCCATGGTTCATGGTTGCTATGGTTGATGCTCATGTTATCAACCACTGGTTGGCCTGATCCAGATTTGATGTATCGCCGACTGCCATGATTCACTCACCAGTTCACTTGTGTGTGGCCGGTATACTTGTCACTGTACCTCACACTGTCGTGTACATGTTCACAGCCTGCCTCAGCTTGCTAGAGTAGAAAATGTACAGCACTGGACAACAGCTTCTCCCACCATCCTTGCCCCGTCCTCGCCCCGTCCTCACCCCATCCTGGCCCCGTCCTTGCCCCGTCCTTGCCCCGTACTCACCCCGTCCTCGCCCCGTCCTCATACACGCACTTGTTCTTAAACAAACATCCTCACTCAATCATCCTCACGCACTCACGCACTCACGCACATCCACACACTCTTCATTAATAATACCCTTCATTCACTTGGTGCTGGAAACGGTAGGTAGCACAGTGGTGTAGGTGTTTGCTTATTACCACCAACACCTGGGTTTGAATCCTCATATGGAAACAGTTTTGGTAATATTCTAGCTATTTGACAGGGGTCTGTAAATAATCAAGTCTTGACCAGACAATCCTGTGATTGACATCATGAGCATCAATCCACGTAATTGGGATACGATGACATGCATGAACCAAGTCAGCGAGCCTGACAACCCGATCCTGTTAGTCGCCTCTTACTACAAGCATAGTCACCTAAAAAGGCAAACATGGGTTGCTGAAGACCTAATTTGACCTGGATCTTTACGTGTCTTGTCTCAATGAATAAGTGTTTTATTTTAATATTTTGCTTTTAACAGTGCTTAAATATTGGAAAGCTTAAAGAAATTATAGGACCTAGTTTACAGTAGGTCCACATTACATTATCGCTTGTCATGGGGCCTAACAAAAGTGGATTGGGTGGTCAAACTCTGTGACTTGGACATCTGCGTGCCATCGCAGCCCCGTGATGTCAAGCACAGATTTGTCTGGCCAGGCTCCCCTGATGACATGGAATGTTGCTGACTTTTGCATGTAACAACAAATAAGTTAAATACTCACATATTTAAAGAGTAAACATGTTCAAGTGTGATTCTACTATGTTCTTTATGTATGCTGTTTTATTGTAAAGAATACTAAAATGTCATTGTTTTGTTAAATTTGTAAACATAAAATTGATTTCTGATCTTTTCAATGTGAAGAAACGAATTATGTATGGTAAATATAGGCAACTAAAGAAACGATGTGACCTTGACATTCAAAGGATCTCTGATGTTTACAGGAGGATATCATGCCTTCAGTGTTCTGTGCCAAGACTTCGGAGAACAGGTACGTATGTCAGGACATACTCTCTATATGGCATTGTGTGAACAGGTATGTCCTGGGCAGTAGGTAGCCAGCCGTCTGGGTCAGGCTCACTCTCTATATGGCATTGTGTGAACAGGTATGTCCTGGGCAGTAGGTAGCCAGCCGTCTGGGCCAGGCTCACTCTCTATATGGCATTGTGTGAACAGGTATGTCCTGGGCAGTAGGTAGCCAGCCGTCTGGGTCAGGCTCACTCTCTATATGGCATTGTGTGAACAGGTATGTCCTGGGCAGTAGGTAGCCAGCCGTCTGGGCCAGGCTCACTCTCTATATGGCATTGTGTGAACAGGTATGTCCTGGGCAGTAGGTAGCCAGCCGTCTGGGTCAGGCTCACTCTCTATATGGCATTGTGTGAACAGGTATGTCCTGGGCAGTAGGTAGCCAGCCGTCTGGGTCAGGACATACTCTCTATATGGCATTGTGTGAACAGGTATGTCCTGGGCAGTAGGTAGCCAGCCGTCTGGGTCAGGCTCACTCTCTATATGGCATTGTGTGAACAGGTATGTCCTGGGCAGTAGGTAGCCAGCCGTCTGGGTCAGGCTCACTCTCTATATGGCATTGTGTGAACAGGTATGTCCTGGGCAGTAGGTAGCCAGCCGTCTGGGCCAGGCTCACTCTCTATATGGCATTGTGTGAACAGGTATGTCCTGGGCAGTAGGTAGCCAGCCGTCTGGGCCAGGGTCACTCTCTATATGGCATTGTGTGAACAGGTATGTCCTGGGCAGTAGGTAGCCAGCCGTCTGGGTCAGGCTCACTCTCTATATGGCATTGTGTGAACAGGTATGTCCTGGGCAGTAGGTAGCCAGCCGTCTGGGCCAGGCTCACTCTCTATATGGCATTGTGTGAACAGGTATGTCCTGGGCAGTAGGTAGCCAGCCGTCTGGGCCAGGCTCACTCTCTATATGGCATTGTGTGAACAGGTATGTCCTGGGCAGTAGGTAGCCAGCCGTCTGGGCCAGGCTCACTCTCTATATGGCATTGTGTGAACAGGTATGTCCTGGGCAGTAGGTAGCCAGCCGTCTGGGCCAGGCTCACTCTCTATATGGCATTGTGTGAACAGGTATGTCCTGGGCAGTAGGTAGCCAGCCGTCTGGGCCAGGCTCACTCTCTATATGGCATTGTGTGAACAGGTATGTCCTGGGCAGTAGGTAGCCAGCCGTCTGGGTCAGGGTCACTCTCTATATGGCATTGTGTGAACAGGTATGTCCTGGGCAGTAGGTAGCCAGCCGTGTGGGTCAGGGTCACTCTCTATATGGCATTGTGTGAACAGGTATGTCCTGGGCAGTAGGTAGCCAGCCGTCTGGGCCAGGCTCACTCTCTATATGGCATTGTGTGAACAGGTATGTCCTGGGCAGTAGGTAGCCAGCCGTCTGGGCCAGGCTCACTCTCTATATGGCATTGTGTGAACAGGTATGTCCTGGGCAGTAGGTAGCCAGCCGTCTGGGTCAGGGTCACTCTCTATATGGCATTGTGTCAACAGGTATGTCCTGGGCAGTAGGTAGCCAGCCGTCTGGGCCAGGCTCACTCTCTATATGGCATTGTGTGAACAGGTATGTCCTGGGCAGTAGGTAGCCAGCCGTGTGGGTCAGGGTCACTCTCTATATGGCATTGTGTGAACAGGTATGTCCTGGGCAGTAGGTAGCCAGCCGTCTGGGTCAGGCTCACTCTCTATATGGCATTGTGTGAACAGGTATGTCCTGGGCAGTAGGTAGCCAGCCGTGTGGGTCAGGGTCACTCTCTATATGGCATTGTGTGAACAGGTATGTCCTGGGCAGTAGGTAGCCAGCCGTCTGGGTCAGGCTCACTCTCTATATGGCATTGTGTGAACAGGTATGTCCTGGGCAGTAGGTAGCCAGCCGTCTGGGCCAGGCTCACTCTCTATATGGCATTGTGTGAACAGGTATGTCCTGGGCAGTAGGTAGCCAGCCGTCTGGGCCAGGCTCACTCTCTATATGGCATTGTGTCAACAGGTATGTCCTGGGCAGTAGGTAGCCAGCCGTCTGGGTCAGGCTCACTCTCTATATGGCATTGTGTGAACAGGTATGTCCTGGGCAGTAGGTAGCCAGCCGTCTGGGTCAGGCTCACTCTCTATATGGCATTGTGTGAACAGGTATGTCCTGGGCAGTAGGTAGCCAGCCGTCTGGGTCAGGCTCACTCTCTATATGGCATTGTGTGAACAGGTATGTCCTGGGCAGTAGGTAGCCAGCCGTCTGGGCCAGGCTCACTCTCTATATGGCATTGTGTGAACAGGTATGTCCTGGGCAGTAGGTAGCCAGCCGTCTGGGTCAGGCTCACTCTCTATATGGCATTGTGTGAACAGGTATGTCCTGGGCAGTAGGTAGCCAGCCGTCTGGGCCAGGCTCACTCTCTATATGGCATTGTGTGAACAGGTATGTCCTGGGCAGTAGGTAGCCAGCCGTGTGGGTCAGGGTCACTCTCTATATGGCATTGTGTGAACAGGTATGTCCTGGGCAGTAGGTAGCCAGCCGTGTGGGTCAGGGTCACTCTCTATATGGCATTGTGTGAACAGGTATGTCCTGGGCAGTAGGTAGCCAGCCGTCTGGGCCAGGCTCACTCTCTATATGGCATTGTGTGAACAGGTATGTCCTGGGCAGTAGGTAGCCAGCCGTGTGGGTCAGGGTCACTCTCTATATGGCATTGTGTGAACAGGTATGTCCTGGGCAGTAGGTAGCCAGCCGTGTGGGTCAGGGTCACTCTCTATATGGCATTGTGTGAACAGGTATGTCCTGGGCAGTAGGTAGCCAGCCGTCTGGGCCAGGCTCACTCTCTATATGGCATTGTGTGAACAGGTATGTCCTGGGCAGTAGGTAGCCAGCCGTGTGGGTCAGGGTCACTCTCTATATGGCATTGTGTGAACAGGTATGTCCTGGGCAGTAGGTAGCCAGCCGTCTGGGTCAGGCTCACTCTCTATATGGCATTGTGTGAACAGGTATGTCCTGGGCAGTAGGTAGCCAGCCGTCTGGGCCAGGCTCACTCTCTATATGGCATTGTGTGAACAGGTATGTCCTGGGCAGTAGGTAGCCAGCCGTCTGGGTCAGGCTCACTCTCTATATGGCATTGTGTGAACAGGTATGTCCTGGGCAGTAGGTAGCCAGCCGTCTGGGCCAGGCTCACTCTCTATATGGCATTGTGTGAACAGGTATGTCCTGGGCAGTAGGTAGCCAGCCGTCTGGGTCAGGCTCACTCTCTATATGGCATTGTGTGAACAGGTATGTCCTGGGCAGTAGGTAGCCAGCCGTCTGGGCCAGGCTCACTCTCTATATGGCATTGTGTGAACAGGTATGTCCTGGGCAGTAGGTAGCCAGCCGTCTGGGTCAGGCTCACTCTCTATATGGCATTGTGTGAACAGGTATGTCCTGGGCAGTAGGTAGCCAGCCGTCTGGGCCAGGCTCACTCTCTATATGGCATTGTGTGAACAGGTATGTCCTGGGCAGTAGGTAGCCAGCCGTCTGGGTCAGGCTCACTCTCTATATGGCATTGTGTGAACAGGTATGTCCTGGGCAGTAGGTAGCCAGCCGTCTGGGCCAGGCTCACTCTCTATATGGCATTGTGTGAACAGGTATGTCCTGGGCAGTAGGTAGCCAGCCGTCTGGGTCAGGCTCACTCTCTATATGGCATTGTGTGAACAGGTATGTCCTGGGCAGTAGGTAGCCAGCCCTCTGGGTCAGGCTCACTCTCTATATGGCATTGTGTGAACAGGTATGTCCTGGGCAGTAGGTAGCCAGCCGTCTGGGCCAGGCTCACTCTCTATATGGCATTGTGTGAACAGGTATGTCCTGGGCAGTAGGTAGCCAGCCCTCTGGGTCAGGCTCACTCTCTATATGGCATTGTGTCAACAGGTATGTCCTGGGCAGTAGGTAGCCAGCCGTCTGGGTCAGGGTCACTCTCTATATGGCATTGTGTGAACAGGTATGTCCTGGGCAGTAGGTAGCCAGCCGTCTGGGTCAGGGTCACTCTCTATATGGCATTGTGTGAACAGGTATGTCCTGGGCAGTAGGTAGCCAGCCGTCTGGGTCAGGGTCACTCTCTATATGGCATTGTGTGAACAGGTATGTCCTGGGCAGTAGGTAGCCAGCCGTCTGGGTCAGGGTCACTCTCTATATGGCATTGTGTGAACAGGTATGTCCTGGGCAGTAGGTAGCCAGCCGTCTGGGTCAGGGTCACTCTCTATATGGCATTGTGTGAACAGGTATGTCCTGGGCAGTAGGTAGCCAGCCGTCTGGGTCAGGGTCACTCTCTATATGGCATTGTGTGAACAGGTATGTCCTGGGCAGTAGGTAGCCAGCCGTCTGGGTCAGGGTCACTCTCTATATGGCATTGTGTGAACAGGTATGTCCTGGGCAGTAGGTAGCCAGCCGTCTGGGCCAGGGTCACTCTCTATATGGCATTGTGTGAACAGGTATGTCCTGGGCAGTAGGTAGCCAGCCCTCTGGGTCAGGCTCACTCTCTATATGGCATTGTGTCAACAGGTATGTCCTGGGCAGTAGGTAGCCAGCCGTCTGGGTCAGGGTCACTCTCTATATGGCATTGTGTGAACAGGTATGTCCTGGGCAGTAGGTAGCCAGCCGTCTGGGTCAGGGTCACTCTCTATATGGCATTGTGTGAACAGGTATGTCCTGGGCAGTAGGTAGCCAGCCGTCTGGGTCAGGGTCACTCTCTATATGGCATTGTGTGAACAGGTATGTCCTGGGCAGTAGGTAGCCAGCCGTCTGGGCCAGGCTCACTCTCTATATGGCATTGTGTGAACAGGTATGTCCTGGGCAGTAGGTAGCCAGCCGTCTGGGTCAGGGTCACTCTCTATATGGCATTGTGTGAACAGGTATGTCCTGGGCAGTAGGTAGCCAGCCGTCTGGGCCAGGCTCACTCTCTATATGGCATTGTGTGAACAGGTATGTCCTGGGCAGTAGGTAGCCAGCCGTCTGGGCCAGGCTCACTCTCTATATGGCATTGTGTCAACAGGTATGTCCTGGGCAGTAGGTAGCCAGCCGTCTGGGCCAGGCTCACTCTCTATATGGCATTGTGTGAACAGGTATGTCCTGGGCAGTAGGTAGCCAGCCGTCTGGGCCAGGCTCACTCTCTATATGGCATTGTGTGAACAGGTATGTCCTGGGCAGTAGGTAGCCAGCCGTCTGGGCCAGGCTCACTCTCTATATGGCATTGTGTGAACAGGTATGTCCTGGGCAGTAGGTAGCCAGCCGTCTGGGCCAGGCTCACTCTCTATATGGCATTGTGTGAACAGGTATGTCCTGGGCAGTAGGTAGCCAGCCGTCTGGGTCAGGGTCACTCTCTATATGACATTGTGTGATCATAGCTTTCAGCCATGGGAGCCGGGCCAATTTACACTTGTCAGAGGGGTACACAAAGTATGTGATCTAGACTACCAGTTGTCAGACTTTCATTCCTTGTGGAACCCTCGGTGGCTGAGTTGGTTAGATCACTGACTTCGTGTGCTGGTGATTAGATGCCTCACTCTGTCAGTGTGGGTTCCATACCCGGTCAGGACTCAACCCAAAAAAGAACAAGAATCTGTACTTCACTAAGAAAGTGTTATCCCAAATATTACATTTGTTACATTTGACCACTTTCTAAATGGCATTGTGTATTCCTAGGTTAGAGGTACCCAGCATCCTCTGCAGGTTAACATGGAAGAGGTGGCCAGGTGACTTGGTTAATGCATGTCGCCTCGATGACATGGATCATTTCAATCACTGGATAGTCTGGTCCAGAATCAATTATTTTCTGGCTGCCATCATTTCGCTGTAATATAGCTGATTGCAGCGTTAAACCAGATGATAACAGTAGCAATTGTTAAATAGGATGAAATGATTCCTGGTAGATTCCTTGTCGGAATTCAGTCCACCTTGAGACTCCAAATATAGTTGATGCTAGCAAGATCTCCTGTATGTATTTCCGTGTCAAGCTGAGGGAACTGACTTTCCCTGCTGCAGGTGCTGACTTTAAAGGTTGGCAACAAGAAGACGGCCAAGAACCACTACCCCGCATCGGAGGAGACCCACATCAGGTGAGGGAGGGATTCTAGGGTGGGGAGACACACGTCAGGTGGGGGAGGGATTGTGGTGTGGGGAGACACACGTCAGGTGGGGGAGGGATTGTGGTGTGGGGAGACCCACGTCAGGTGGGGGAGGGATTCTAGGGTGGGGAGACCCACGTCAGGTGGGGGAGGGATTATTAAGGCAAAGATCTCTTTCACATTTGGTGACCTGGCCGTGTATGGCACAGATGGTGAGTCTATGGATGTTGGTTTGAATCCCTGATTCGTCCTAATTATGACTTTTGGTTTGTCAGCACCATGGCGCCCTTTGGGTTTCTGGGATAGGATAGGTTCCCAGCAATCTATACTGGGCGTAAGAGGCGACCCAATGGATCACTTAGTTAACAGGTGTCCTAGTGGCCCAAAGGTGTGGATCATTATAATAATAATATTTTGAAAATATGTGTTTGAAGCATTTTTATTATAATCTTGAACTTTGCCATGGAAATATTTTAAGAAGGCCTTGTATTTGGTGGTTCAATTTTTGGCATGCGCACCTTGTGATCAGAGTGGTACTAAACCCACAGGAATGAATCAATCATTGTTTCCATCAATCAGTCAAAACTCGACAATCACCCACCTACCCACTCAATCAATTGATCAAAACTCAATCACCCATCCAACACTAACTCGATCAAACGCCCACTCACTCAGTCAGTCCTTATGTCAATCAGTCTGTCAGTCAATCCATCAGTTTCGTATGTCAATCCATCAGTCAATCAATCAGTCTGTATGTCAATCCATCAGTCCGTATGTCAATCGACCAGTCAATCAATCCATCCGTATGTCAATCCATCAGTCAATCAATCAGTCCGTATGTCAATCCATCAGTTAATCAATCAGTCTGTATGTCAATCCATCAGTCAATCCATCAGTCCGTATGTCAATCCCTGTTGCAGGTTCCTGTGCGCAAAGCCCGTGGAGCTCCACCTGCAGCCCCTCCTCAGCCTGGACCCCGGCCTCCCGCCGTGCCCCGTCACCCACGAGACCCATCTCCCTGTGAGTAGCCACTGGCAGCTGTGTAGCTGGAGAGATGGTTGACTGTTATGTCCGAGTTTCACCGCGGCCACACATCACTGGGACGTCATGTAACTGGAGAGATGGTTGACTGTCATGTCCGAGTTTCACCGCGGCCACACATTACTGGGACGTCACGTAACTGGAGAGATGGTTTACTGTCATGTCCGAGTTTCACCGCGGCCACACATTACTGGGACGTCACGTAACTGGAGAGATGGTTGACTGTCATGTCCGAGTTTCACCGCGGCCACACATTACTGGGACGTCACGTAACTGGAGAGATGGTTGACTCTCATGTCCGAGTTTCACCGCGGCCACACATTGCTGTATATCTCCTCTATAGCACCTACAATAACAAAAGGGCGGCGGAGAAGCCCAGGTGATTTAAGCGTTCGCTCGTCACGCTGAACACCCGGGTTCAATGTATGAAGCCTATTTCTGTTTTTCCCCGCCGGGATATTGCTGGAATATTGCTAAAAGCGGCGTAAAGCTGTACTCACTCACTCACAATAACAAACAGTAAGGATATTACAGACTAAACATTTTCCATTTATTTACCATGCGTTACCAGGTACGAGTGTGTTCCCTGTATTATTGCTTATCCTTCTCCAGATTCCTATCCACTGCGAGTACGACAGAGACATCCTAGTCACGGTGACAGACAGCAGCGGCCGGAAGTTCGACAACTTCTCATCTCTCGCCATTGACTGGAGCGTCTCCAGCACCAGCCTCGCCTCCATCCCCACCCCCGATGACCTGACCACCGACATCACCTCCACGCAGGACGGCAAGAAGCTGGTCAGGAGTAAGTTGAGAAACGATGGGATTATCTTGTTCTGACTTAGATATACTTGAAGTGGGTTGGAAATGATTTAAAGCATCAAACAACCTCATTGTGAAAATGAGTCAAATGCAAAGACATTTCAGAACACTTGTCCCTCACCCATTGTTTATTTATGACCGAAAGAATTTGTTACAGCTTTATTAGTTTTCATTAAAGAAGTCATGACTTTCGTATTATCTTTCAGACTCCATCAACAACACATAAAGGCCATGTATGCACCGATATCAAAGGGGGCAGTGGGGTATTTTAGTGGTTAAAGCATTTGCCCGTCATGCCAAATGTGTGAAGCCCATTTCTGGTGTCCCCCGCAATGATATTGCTGGAATATTGCTTAAAGCGGCATGAAACCATAATCAATCATTCAGTATTAATTTTCAATAAAGAAGTCATGACTATCATATTTTCCTTATGACAACACAGTATACAGGTCATGAATATACAGATAGCAAAGACCCTGGACCCCAGAAATTGTGAAACCCGACTCAACAACATGAAGTGGTGACGGGATATCTGTGTGGCCCAGTGTATGGTGCCATGATTTGCCTTGAAGAGTTGTGTCCCTTAGATACTTGTTGGGTTCAAATCCCAGATTTGACTCGGTTGTCATCACACACACTCATGGATTACACCTTCATGCCTTTCCTCCCACGCTGAGCTGATATACAGGACTAAAACACTTCTCATAATCTCCTCCTCCTCATAATCTCCTCCTTCTCATAACCTCCTACTTGTCATAACCTCCTCATAATCTCCTACTTCTCATAATCTCCTACTTCTCATAATCTCCTCCTTCTCATAACCTCCTCATAATCTCCTCATAATCTCCTACTTCTCATAACCTCCTACTTCTCATAACCTCCTACTTCTCATAACCTCCTCCTCATAATCTCCTACTTCTCATAATCTCCTACTTCTCATAACCTCCTACTTCTCATAACCTCCTCCTCATAATCTCCTACTTCTCATAATCTCCTCCTTCTCATAACCTCCTCCTCATAATCTCCTACTTCTCATAATCTCCTTCTCATAACCTCCTACTTCTCATAACCTCCTCCTTCTCATAATCTCCTACTTCTCATAATCTCCTACTTCTCATAATCTCCTACTTCTCATAACCTCCTTCTCATAATCTCCTACTTCTCATAACCTCCTCATAATCTCCTACTTCTCATAATCTCCTACTTCTCATAACCTCCTCCTCATAATCTCCTCCTTCTCATAACCTCCTCCTCATAATCTCCTACTCATAATCTCCTACTTCTCATAACCTCCTTCTCATAACCTCCTACTTCTCATAACCTCCTCCTCATAATCTCCTACTTCTCATAATCTCCTCCTTCTCATAACCTCCTCCTCATAATCTCCTACTTCACATAATCTCCTACTTCTCATAACCTCCTACTTCTCATAACCTCCTCCTTCTCATAATCTCCTACTTCTCATAACCTCCTACTTCTCATAACCTCCTTCTCATAATCTCCCACTTCTCATAACCTCCTCCTCATAATCTCCTACTTCTCATAATCTCCTACTTCTCATAACCTCCTCCTCATAATCTCCTCCTTCTCATAACCTCCTCCTCATAATCTCCTACTCATAATCTCCTACTTCTCATAACCTCCTCCTTCTCATAATCTCCTCCTTCTCATAACCTCCTCCTTCTTATCCCTGCAGCCTACCAGACTCTGTTGCCAGCCGGAAGACCAGGAACCGTGGTTGTCTCGGCAACCACCAACAGCTACAACTCTAAACATCTGAGGAATGCTGGAAGCAAGATTTCTGTGAGTTACCCCACTTGTAGGCATAGATATGTGTGACAATTTCTGTGAGTGACCCCACTTGTAGGTTTAGATATGTGCGAAGATTTCTGTGAGTGACCCCACTTGTAGGTTTAGATATGTGTGAAGATTTCTGTGAGTAACCCGACTTGTAGGCTTAGATATGTGTGAAGATTTCTGTGAGTGACCCCACTTGTAGGCTTAGATATGTGCGAAGATTTCTACTTCATAATCAATTCTTGAAGGCACATTGCCAACACATTAAGTATCAGTAATGAAGGTACAAGAAATGAAGACAAAATATTGCTAATAAATATATTCCTTTCAAATCAAAACCATATTAATATTTTGTCATTTTTAATATTTTGCTATATTTAGTCCAGACTCTTTTGAAAAACAAGAGAATAAATTTTTTTGCAAAGTTTTTTATATTTCTGTAAAAATGTGTTTGGTTGTCATGGTTACCAGTACTCTATTTTTCTTACTACTCATTCTTGCTAGGGATAATCCTGTAATGTCACAGCAGACTGAGGACTGTACTATCTATGTGCAGAATAGTTCTAAACATTTCTAAACATTAAGTGGAGTGGTCAGTGACTAGTCTCTGTGTTCTCAGGAAGCTATCCACCCCCGAATCAGCAAGTCGATCGAGCTGCTGCTTGTGGAGGGTGCCTACATCTCGCCGGAGCAAGTGTCCGTCTTCAACCATCCCTCCAATAAGGTCAGTAGATGAAACCGTAGGAATGTGGCCTTGTGGTCCCAGGTGCCTCAATATATGGGACAGAGTTGTGTCCCTTTGTTGTACCAGGATCTGTAAATCTTTGGTTTGAATCCCAATTTTGTCCTTATTCTGATGAATCTTGAAAAGTGGTTTGTTGAATTTCTAATATCTTCTTGTAGAGCATGACCATGTCTAGGGATTTGACTAGTTCAGGGCAAAGTGTTGAACAGCTGACACCAAGGTTTTGTTTTTCAGGTGACAATAAACATCAAGAGAGGCTCTGGGTATTTCTTTATTGAGGAGCACAACTCCGACGTGGTCGGACTCAAGTACGACATCAAGTCCAAGTCGGTGATGGTTCGTATGTTCAATGAAGTCTTGTAGCTTTTCAAATGAATCTCATCGTCTAATACAGAAGTTTCATTCAGGTTTAAGAACAACTTCAATAGTTGTACTTTTCTTGAACACTTGGTGCAGCAAGAGGCTTGTTCTCCCATACTAACTGATCAGTGTGCAGCTAGAGGCTTGGTCTCCCATACTAACTGATCAGTGTGCAGCTAGAGGCTTGGTCTCCCATACTAACTGATCAGTGTGCAGCTAGAGGCTTGATCTCCCATACTAACTGATCAGTGTGCTGCTAGAGGCTTGGTCTCCCATACTAACTGATCAGTGTGCAGCTAGAGGCTTGGTCTCCCATACTAACTGATCAGTGTGCAGCTAGAGGCTTGGTCTCCCATACTAACTGATCAGTGTGCTGCTAGAGGCTTGATCTCCCATACTAACTGATCAGTGTGCAGCTAGAGGCTTGGTCTCCCATACTAACTGATCAGTGTGCTGCTAGAGGCTTGGTCTCCCATACTAACTGATCAGTGTGCAGCTAGAGGCTTGATCTCCCATACTAACTGATCAGTGTGCAGCTAGAGGCTTGGTCTCCCATACTAACTGATCAGTGTGCAGCTAGAGGCTTGGTCTCCCATACTAACTGATCAGTGTGCAGCTAGAGGCTTGGTCTCCCATACTAACTGATCAGTGTGCAGCTAGAGGCTTGATCTCCCATACTAACTGATCAGTGTGCAGCTAGAGGCTTGATCTCCCATACTAACTGATCAGTGTGCAGCTAGAGGCTTGTTCTCCCATACTAACTGATCAGTGTGCTGCTAGAGGCTTGGTCTCCCATACTAACTGATCAGTGTGCAGCTAGAGGCTTGGTCTCCCATACTAACTGATCAGTGTGCAGCTAGGGGCTTGTTCTCCCATACTAACTGATCAGGGTGCAGCTAGAGGCTTGGTCTCCCATACTAACTGATCAGTGTGCAGCTAGAGGCTTGGTCTCCCATACTAACTGATCAGTGTGCAGCTAGAGGCTTGATCTCCCATACTAACTGATCAGTGTGCTGCTAGAGGCTTGGTCTCCCATACTAACTGATCAGTGTGCAGCTAGAGGCTTGGTCTCCCATACTAACTGATCAGTGTGCAGCTAGAGGCTTGGTCTCCCATACTAACTGATCAGTGTGCAGCTAGAGGCTTGGACTCCCATACTAACTGATCAGTGTGCAGCTAGAGGCTTGGTCTCCCATACTAACTGATCAGTGTGCTGCTAGAGGCTTGGTCTCCCATACTAACTGATCAGTGTGCAGCTAGAGGCTTGGTCTCCCATACTAACTGATCAGTGTGCTGCTAGAGGCTTGATCTCCCATACTTACTGATCAGTGTGCAGCTAGAGGCTTGGTCTCCCATACTAACTGATCAGTGTGCTGCTAGAGGCTTGGTCTCCCATACTAACTGATCAGTGTGCTGCTAGAGACTTGGTCTCCCATACTAACTGATCAGTGTGCTGCTAGAGGCTTGATCTCCCATACTAACTGATCAGTGTGCTGCTAGAGACTTGGTCTCCCATACTAACTGATCAGTGTGCAGCTAGAGGCTTGTTCTCCCATACTAACTGATCAGTGTGCAGCTAGAGGCTTGATCTCCCATACTAACTGATCAGTGTGCAGCTAGAGGCTTGGTCTCCCATACTAACTGATCAGTGTGCAGCTAGAGGCTTGTTCTCCCATACTAACTGATCAGTGTGCTGCTAGAGGCTTGGTCTCCCATACTAACTGATCAGTGTGCAGCAAGAGGCTTGGTCTCCCATACTAACTGATCAGTGTGCAGCTAGAGGCTTGTTCTCCCATACTAACTGATCAGTGTGCAGCTAGAGGCTTGGTCTCCCATACTAACTGATCAGTGTGCAGCTAGAGGCTTGGTCTCCCATACTAACTGATCAGTGTGCAGCTAGAGGCTTGATCTCCCATACTAACTGATCAGTGTGCTGCTAGAGGCTTGGTCTCCCATACTAACTGATCAGTGTGCAGCTAGAGGCTTGGTCTCCCATACTAACTGATCAGTGTGCAGCTAGAGGCTTGGTCTCCCATACTAACTGATCAGTGTGCAGCTAGAGGCTTGGTCTCCCATACTAACTGATCAGTGTGCAGCTAGAGGCTTGGTCTCCCATACTAACTGATCAGTGTGCTGCTAGAGGCTTGATCTCCCATACTTACTGATCAGTGTGCAGCTAGAGGCTTGGTCTCCCATACTAACTGATCAGTGTGCTGCTAGAGGCTTGGTCTCCCATACTAACTGATCAGTGTGCTGCTAGAGACTTGGTCTCCCATACTAACTGATCAGTGTGCTGCTAGAGGCTTGATCTCCCATACTAACTGATCAGTGTGCTGCTAGAGACTTGGTCTCCCATACTAACTGATCAGTGTGCTGCTAGAGGCTTGATCTCCCATACTAACTGATCAGTGTGCAGCTAGAGGCTTGGTCTCCCATACTAACTGATCAGTGTGCTGCTAGAGGATTGGTCTCCCATACTAACTGATCAGTGTGCTGCTAGAGGCTTGGTCTCCCATACTAACTGATCAGTGTGCAGCTAGAGGCTTGGTCTCCCATACTAACTGATCAGTGTGCTGCTAGAGGCTTGGTCTCCCATACTAACTGATCAGTGTGCTGCTAGAGACTTGGTCTCCCATACTAACTGATCAGTATGCAGCTAGAGGCTTGGTCTCCCATACTAACTGATCAGTGTGCAGCTAGAGGCTTGGTCTCCCATACTAACTGATCAGTGTGCAGCTAGAGGCTTGGTCTCCCATACTAACTGATCAGTATGCAGCTAGAGGCTTGGTCTCCCATACTAACTGATCAGTGTGCAGCTAGAGACTCGGTCTCCCATACTAACTGATCAGTGTGCAGCTAGAGGCATGGTCTCCCATACTAACTGATCAGTGTGCTGCTAGACACTTGGTCTCCCATACTAACTGATCAGTGTGCAGCTAGAGGCTTGGTCTCCCATACTAACTGATCAGTGTGCAGCTAGAGGCTTGGTCTCCCATACTAACTGATCAGTGTGCTGCTAGAGGCTTGGTCTCCCATACTAACTGATCAGTGTGCAGCTAGAGGCTTGGTCTCCCATACTAACTGATCAGTGTGCAGCTAGAGACTTGGTCTCCCATACTAACTGATCAGTGTGCTGCTAGAGACTTGATCTCCCATACTAACTGATCAGTGTGCTGCTAGAGGCTTGATCTCCCATACTAACTGATCAGTGTGCTGCTAGAGACTTGATCTCCCATACTTACTGATCAGTGTGCAGCTAGAGGCTTGGTCTCCCATACTAACTGATCAGTGTGCAGCTAGAGGCTTGGTCTCCCATACTAACTGATCAGTGTGCAGCTAGAGACTTGGTCTCCCATATTAACTGATCAGTATGCAGCTAGAGGCTTGTTCTCCCATACTAACTGATCAGTGTGCAGCTAGAGGCTTGGTCTCCCATACTAACTGATCAGTGTGTAGCTAGAGGCTTGTTCTCCCATACTAACTGATCAGTGTGCAGCTAGAGGCTTGGTCTCCCATACTAACTGATCAGTGTGCAGCTAGAGGCTTGGTCTCCCATACTAACTGATCAGTGTGCAGCTAGAGGCTTGGTCTCCCATACTAACTGATCAGTGTGCAGCTAGAGGCTTGGTCTCCCATACTAACTGATCAGTGTGCTGCTAGAGGCTTGGTCTCCCATACTAACTGATCAGTGTGCTGCTAGAGGCTTGATCTCCCATACTAACTGATCAGTGTGCTGCTAGAGGCTTGGTCTCCCATACTAACTGATCAGTGTGCAGCTAGAGGCTTGGTCTCCCATACTAACTGATCAGTGTGCAGCTAGAGGCTTGGTTTCCCATACTAACTGATCAGTGTGCTGCTAGAGGCTTGGTCTCCCATACTAACTGATCAGTGTGCTGCTAGAGGCTTGATCTCCCATACTAACTGATCAGTGTGCAGCTAGAGGCTTGGTCTCCCATACTAATAGATCAGTGTGCAGCTAGAGGCTTGGTCTCCCATACTAACTGATCAGTGTGCAGCTAGAGGCTTGGTCTCCCATACTAACTGATCAGTGTGCAGCTAGAGGCTTGATCTCCCATACTAACTGATCAGTGTGCAGCTAGAGGCTTGGTCTCCCATACTAACTGATCAGTGTGCAGCTAGAGGCTTGTTCTCCCATACTTACTGATCAGTGTGCAGCTAGAGGCTTGGTCTCCCATACTAACTGATCAGTGTGCAGCTAGAGGCTTGGTCTCCCATACTAACTGATCAGTGTGCAGCTAGAGGCTTGGTCTCCCATACTAACTGATCAGTGTGCAGCTAGAGGCTTGGTCTCCCATACTAACTGATCAGTGTGCAGCTAGAGGCTTGATCTCCCATACTAACTGATCAGTGTGCAGCTAGAGACTTGATCTCCCATTCTAACTGATCAGTGTGCAGCTAGAGGCTTGGTCTCCCATACTAACTGATCAGTGTGCAGCTAGAGACTTGATCTCCCATACTAACTGATCAGTGTGCAGCTAGAGGCTTGGTCTCCCATACTAATAGATCAGTGTGCAGCTAGAGGCTTGGTCTCCCATACTAACTGATCAGTGTGCAGCTAGAGGCTTGGTCTCCCATACTAACTGATCAGTGTGCAGCTAGAGGCTTGATCTCCCATACTAACTGATCAGTGTGCAGCTAGAGGCTTGGTCTCCCATACTAACTGATCAGTGTGCAGCTAGAGGCTTGTTCTCCCATACTTACTGATCAGTGTGCAGCTAGAGGCTTGGTCTCCCATACTAACTGATCAGTGTGCAGCTAGAGGCTTGGTCTCCCATACTAACTGATCAGTGTGCAGCTAGAGGCTTGGTCTCCCATACTAACTGATCAGTGTGCAGCTAGAGGCTTGGTCTCCCATACTAACTGATCAGTGTGCAGCTAGAGGCTTGATCTCCCATACTAACTGATCAGTGTGCAGCTAGAGACTTGATCTCCCATTCTAACTGATCAGTGTGCAG